GACCAATGGAGAAGAAAGTGTTAGAAATTCGGATTCAGGTTCCGGTGTTTTTTTTTAATCACCTTTTCTTCCACTTATATATTACGAATATTATTGGATGTGTGTTGCGTTTTACTATGACTACTGTATTATCTATTTTATTTGTACAATATTACTTCTCCCCGAAACTTCAAAATATGGAATTTAGGTATTGAAAAAACCCCGACAGCCAGCGATATTGATGACAATGTTGAAGTGATTTATGTTGGAAAACCTCTAGAGCTTGATCCTAGTGATCCAAATTATCACTACTTCTCGAAAGTTTTCGAAAGTTTCAAGGTTTTCTTATTGGTTTATTGCGTTTATCTTGCATTGGTGATCTTAAAATAGTGCTCTGAATTGACTGCTGTCTGCATAACTCCTATTTACTGCTTCTAATTTACTGCATAACTCTTCTAGAATTCCATTTTAATGATCCGAACTAGTCAATGATTTCTCAGTACTAGTTATGTTAAAGGGATCTATGTGAATTTTATTTTAATTTTTGATAGTTTCTCTGTTGACATGATCGGCGCTATAGATTCAGAATAAAAAACGTTTCATTATTCTATAACGTAGAATATGCTGAAGATGTAATGGAGTCAGTAATTGTTAGTTACATCTTTGTTAGCGGTAATAATGTTTTTCATGACTTATGCAGATAAGCGAAGAAATAAAGAAGGAGGAACCTGCTGAGAAAGTTGAACCAGAAATGAAGAAAGAAGAAATACCAACAAAAGCTTCCATTTCGGAAAAGATTTTGCAAGAAGAAATGAGTGAAAAACGGGTAATCGTTGAGAAACTAACTTCTTTTCCTTTTCTCCCGGTACACGTTTGAGGATGTATATATGGATCTCAAAAGATGTAAATAATGTGGAATATTTAATCAGTTCTGCTCATTTTCGAGAAATGTTCGAGAAACATTGTCACTATTCTTTTCAGCGCGAACAAGAGGAGGCCGGGCAGACACAAACTTTGAGTAAGAGGAAACTTCGTCTGTCAATGCAACCAACTATTGCCGAACTGAAAGAGGTATTCAGAATAATATATTTGTTTATTTCTAAAAGTTGTTCATTTGTCCAATGCAATTGAGTTTCTATATTTTTGATAGTTTCCCAATTTCATATCATTTCTTTTATTATAAATATACAAAGAGGGAAAAAGAACATATTAATTTCTCTCACTCACACATCAATTTTAAGGTAAGACTAGAAGGACTTTCTAATATGTTTTAATATATTAATATATATAATATATGTTTGTTTACCCATCTCTAACCGAGTTGTAGTGAACGTATTAAATGTTACTAAATAATGTCTCCTCAGGTGACAACTCGGCCAGATGTGGTGGAATGGGCAGATGTCACTTCACGTGATCCTTATCTCTTGGTTACCTTGAAAGCATACAGAAATACCGTACCTGTACCGCGACATTGGAATGCTAAGAGAAAATATTTGGCAGGCAAACGCGGTTTTGAAAGACCTCCGTTTGATTTGCCCGATTTTATCAAGAGGACTGGTATAATGGAAATGCGTGAGACGATGTGGGAAAAAGTAAGTTTCTGCATACTTTGTCTTTGAATTTCTGCCTTTTTTTAAAGTTGGACAGGTTTTATTATTTAACCTGTATTAGTCCTACAGAATCATGAGTCTCAAACGAATGGAGCATATCCTGCAATGTGAAACCGTATAGTAATGAATCCGTATAGTAATGCAATCGTATAATAATAAATTTTTAGTTATAATTTCTCTGACTTACTCTCTTAACATTCGTTAATTTAGGAAGATGCCCAATCATTAAAATCGAAGATGCGTGAACGCGCAAGACCGAAGCTTGGTCGTATTGATATCGATTATCAAAAACTGCATGATGCTTTTTTCAAATGGCAAACAAAACCTGTGATGACTCAAATGGGTGAACTGTACTATGAAGGTAAAGAACTGGAAACAGTCATGCGTGAGAAGAAACCGGGTGAACTGACCGATGAACTACGAGTTGCTCTAGGAATGCCTGTTGGACCTGTAAGTGCAATTCCATACTCATAGAGACAGGAATCGGATAGTGTACATAAGTGACGTGATATTCCTTGTCGTTTCAGAATGCACACAAATTTCCTCCACCCTGGTTGATTGCAATGCAGCGATATGGACCACCGCCATCATATCCGAACTTGAAGATACCGGGATTGAATTGCCCTATTCCAGAAGGATGTGCATTTGGTTATCATGCTGGTGGATGGGGTAAGCCTCCAGTCGATGAAATGGGCAAACCGTTGTATGGTGATGTGTTCGGCCTTGAGGTTGCAAATTAATACAGTTTATTAAACTGAATTTTGAGAAATTTTTTCCTTTCGAGTTTAAGAAAATCTTTGAGCTTAGCATCACGACAATATCCTTGCGTTCGATAGGCTTGATACCAGATGATAGTTATACGGTTAATATGGTGATACTACTACTATATGTTTGGCTCGATCACACATTTCTTTCCTCTGTGGCAATTTATCTGGTTGTTAACTTCTAACAACTCGACGAAGCTTTTAGCTTTAGTGGGACGATTTGTCCGGCATGAAACTCCCATAGATATTTCTGTTGGAGCAATTTCATTTAGCTGTACTCAGTTTGTTCTCTTTTATAGAAATGAGAAGTTAGAATCGATTTTATACTAACCAAGTTGCATAAACCTAATAGCAACTAGTTCTGTTTTTAAAAGACATGTTCTCTTCCAGGCTCCAACACTGCCAGAATTGGATGACGAATCACGAATAGAACGACGACATTGGGGTGAAATAGGTAGTGATGAAGACTCTAGTGAAGAAAGTGAAGAAGAGGAGGAAGGTGAAGGTGGTGCGGTTGAAGCAGGCTTTGTTACTCCGGCTACTACTGAAGGGTTAGTCTTGCTTATGCTCTAGGAGGTAGGGGTAGATTTTAATAACAAACGATTTAACGGAATGCGAGGATTCTCGATATTATATTCCTCTAAAAAATTTATCTTCTTAGTGATTCAAAGTTAAGATGGTGCTAATTTCTCCTTTTAGTTTTGCAACGCCATCAGGAATGACTTCTGGCGTTCTTACTGGTGTTGAAACTCCGGATACCATTGAATTGCGAAAGGGCAAACGGATAGAAGACAGGTTTTTTGTGTTTTCAATATTATCTTTTTTAGTCTAGCAGGCATTCGATTTCAGGTAAAACGCAAGAACACAGTAATTCTGCGGAAATAAGTGTTTGAAACATGATTACGTGTTGAGTCATTAGGGGGGAGTAATTTCTGGAATTAATTAGATTCTTTTAGTGCACTAAGTTGAAAATCTATGTACTGATTAGGAAGTTGAAAATTTATGGTTTAAATTGAAATTTTAGCAGCACAACAGGTGGTGAGACTCCTGCGCCAGCACTCTACACAGTACTTCAAGAACGTAAGATCGATCGTATTGCGGGACAAATGATGGCCAGTACTCATGTTTATGATTTGTCGGTGGGTGTTTTATTCATGAGCTTTTGTTTTTGTTTTATTAATTTCTTAAGCATTAGTAAGGAAAAAACAGTGCTTCTAAATAAGTCAGACATATTGTGGATTGTGGATAAAATTTCTAATTCTTGTGTTTTTCAGAAAAAACCACCTCCAGCCCCTGTATCACAGGGAGTAGATGCCGGAATAGAAGTATCATTGAATCCAGAAGACCTCGACCTAGCTGATCAAAAAGGTCTGGAGAAGAAATATGAAGAGCAGTTACGGAAGCAAACTCGTGGACGGCAGGATGACGACGAAGATTTCTCAGATATGGTGGCTGAACATTCCGCTAAACAAAACGTTAGCTTTGCAGCTTTTCTACGTTTTGTTTTCCCTTTCCTTTGCTTTCCTTTCCTATTATATTTGATTTCGTGTTGCAGCGTAAAAGAAAGGTACAGGAACAAAAGAAATCAACGCAGCAGCAGAAGAAATATAAAGATTTCAAATTTTGAAATAACACTTTCTACTTGTGCTTCTTAATTTCTTCTTAATTTGTTTATTAGTGATACCATTACATCATTTTATGACCGAATCCTTCAGATTAAGCTCGATTATCAGATTTGCCACAGATTTTAAATTCCTATCTGCAAATTTGTGGAGTGTAGATTTGCTGTTTCTGAGAATCAGTAAAAAGTCAATGGCTTTTTCCAAAAGTTGAGAAAATAGCCAGTCTTTCTAGCACCGAAAAAAATTATCTCTGTTATGATAATAGTACAAGAAACTTCCCTTTCTCATTCATATTCTCCCATAAACATTTTGATTTATTCGTAGATTGTTTTTCCATTTTTATTACATGAAATTGTATATTTTTCACCCTGCTTTCTCAACGAACATTATACATGGATAATTTCAAGCAAAAATCAATAAGTTGTAACATCTCTTTTAGTAATACAAAGTATTCAGGCAGCTGAACAATGATAAGTTTCGTTTTTTTGTGTTGGATTTATACCGAATTTAATCGAACAGGTTGCGGTACAAATTAAAAGTTTATTTAGATGCAAGTCAAAAGTCCATACACAGTTTATTCAAACAGGCAATGGCCTTCTCGTATTAAACAATAAAACAGTAATGATCGCAAGACGAATGGGGAGGATTTTTTTGAAAGTTTGCATTGCTTTTTTTCAGTTTTTAAATATAGAACTGAATTTCTCTCCCAAAATTGAACTGCAAGACTAAGCTGAACGGCCTATGCATCACTTTCTCAGACGTGAAAGCGGTGCCTATCCTAAAGGTCGACCAAACATAGAAACAAGGTGAAATAGGGAAACAAAAAAGGACGAATAAGAGCAGGTTATTACCATATACTGTTTTAATCCAATATATTTGTGAAGAAGCATTCAAATTATTAGATTACGACACTCAGTCTCCTTCAGCTGTCCTATGGAGATCGACTGCCATAAAATCACATACGTATAATTAATAAACCTATTGTGGATACACGTGAATGAGCAATCCTACAAAGAAATGAGCAATCAATACTTCTTAGAAAGCCATGATTTCACTGCTGGATGATTAGGCATACTTTTCAAATATTCTGCGTATTTTTCCCGGATAAACTTGAATGCCTCAGGCGTTGCAAATGGCAAGCCGGTTAATGGGTCACGATATTTTGCGGGACGTGATGTCACGCAACAAAGGAGTTTCACCTGAAATAATATCTTACAGATACTAGTAAAATGATTCTGATATGAAATAAAAGCGGACACCATTATGTATTGATAAAAAACAGTTCTGACGACAAGATGCATTACTGTGACACAACTACGACAAACTTTTTAGTTACCAATGACTTGTGATCATTTGATATCGGCTGGGGAAGTGATGGCATATAAAAGAAAAGATAAACTTGCATGTTGGACTTCTCGAAATGAATAACAACACAGAAGTTATTCTCACATTTCACTGGATATATAGGCCTACTGCTTTAAGATAAAAGGAAGTGGAGAAATGAAAATTTCGATGAGCAAGAAAAATTCACCACTCTCTCTGGTTTTATAAATTTTTTGATGTCTGGAACAACCATCCATTTGCCATTCGGACCATCCACAGTGCTAATGTAAGGTGGTTTTAATTTCCGAATAACATTTATTTTTTCACGTTTCTTCTTCTTTTCCAGCTCAAACTGCTCATACTTTTTTAACGACGCAATATTTTTTCGTTCTGTTTCCTTGGCTTCTTCCAAATATTGTGCCTAAAACAGAACAGTGATTAAAACTGCAGTGAACATGTCAACTCTTGATCGATGAACAGTTGTTTTGATATGACTTTAAATGTAGATTTTAACTCATAATAAAGTGACAAAAGGAATGAATATGAGAACGAAACATACCTGAGTTTCAGGACTGACAGTGTTAGCAGCCGCAGTAAGGCAACCCATTCGTGCCATCACCCATTTCTTATTTTTTTCTAACAAAGCTCTCTTCGAAGAACTACCACCCAGTCTCGGTTCCTAAAAAGGAAAATTTGAAGAAAACAATCATCTTCTTCAATAAGATTTGCTCAAAAGCAATTCAGAGTTGGAAATCGAATATAAATCAATTTATTTCATTGTTTTGCTGTATGTTATGAGAGATATTAATATTTATGATAAAACTATTTACTTTATAACCAGTTTTTCGTTTCCGTCGTTTGGGCTCTTCTTCTGTATCGCTAATTAGCTCCTCGTCATCTTCAGGACGATCGAAATCAGAATCCACTTCATCATCCGATTCCACTGGTGATTCAAACGCATCATCGACATCATCCTGAAAGTCCCTCAAGAATAATCCGATAACCACCCAGAAAAAATAACTTCAGTAACGAAATGAATCAAGAGTAAAAATTTTGTAGTTAGCTTACCAAACAGTAATTAGTCCCATAATTGTTTTGGAATGCTAAATATTCTAATCAGTTTATGAGTTAAGACACAATTAGAAAATCTGAGTCCGCAACAATTAGTCAGTTTTTCTCCCGAAAAATTAATAGGAATTATGTCCTTTTCCGTTTTCATTTATAAGGTATCAACAGTGATCTTGCATGCTGCCTTTTGACATTCGTTTTATTATTACTTGGCAAAAAAAGAAAAAAACTACCTCAAGAAATCTACCATCATATGTATTCTTGTAGAAATCATCGTCTTGCTCAGCGGATTCCAACAACTGCGCCATCTTATTACCAGCGTTGGAACGTTTTTCACGAGTAGTAACCATAAGCTCAACATTTTCTTCCCCACTGCTGCTAGTTCCACTTCTACATAACGTTTTCATTTCAATTTTTTCCCGAAAGCAAATGATAATATATCAAATTATCAAAATGATTTTTGAAAAATACCTTCTATACCTCATGCTAAGTAATAGATTCAGTGTAATGTAAGGGAAAAGAAAGAAAAATTTAAGAATGTATCAGATGATTATATCCCCAGAACACTTAATTTCCCGCCATACAATGATATTTCCCGTCCTTCACGATCAATCCTCAAATGCAAAGCATCCTAGAAAGAAGAATTCAAGAACACTTACTCATCATCGTCGTCACTATCATTTGTATCACCATCAACTTCCATATGTTCCACTTCTTCCTTCACTTCTTCCTCACCTTTAGGCTCTTTTTTCATCATCACTTTTTTTGTTTCTCTTTCTCGCTATCTGAAAAGAATGCGATTATGAAAATCGCCACAATATAACAGCAATCAATTGTACTATATTACCTGAGAATCATTCGAAAGTTGAACTATATTTAAAATTTCAACTATTCTTATCACAATATCAAAATAATCAAATCCGATCATAAAAAAAAAATGAGAGAAATTCTTAATTAACAGTTAAATAACGCTGTAGCAAATTTTTTGTTAGTAAATTCCCTTAATCCTCTATTCTTATGCAAAGTATTGCCATCTTGGCTTTGTTATATCACTCATAATCTTATTAAATGCCTAAATTAATTAACCAACATGAAAATTTGTCGAATTATCTCTAAATCCTTCTCTTTCTCTCTGTATTCTCCATCCACATAGCCTGTATCTATTCAAGTTGCATTCTTAATCTTCTATCAAATCCCATCACTATTTTCGATTTTTCATGCTTCTAAAAATACTTTGTATTTAAAATCTTATCATTCTCTGCTGTCTCCCAAAAAATCACATTATTTCATCCTATTACGCCATCTCTACAGTATTATTTTTGGATCTCGCTTATCTTTGGAACACTTGAAAATCGTGATCTCTTTTAATCTTTAGCATATCTACAGTTGCTCTGTTGTCTCGTACTGTCTCTCTAATTCTGCATAAAATGGTTTCATATCGCGGCCTCGTGAAGTTGTCGCGGTGCATCACTTGTTGTTTTTGCTAAAGTCGAACATTGCAGGATTGGGGATTTTGGTAGTTGTGGTCATTGTCTTTGCTCTTTTGTGAAGGGATCCAGTTGGATTCTGCAGTACTCAGTTAGTTCGCTGTGAACTTTCCTGTCATAAATTATTTTGAATTTTAATTTATTCCTTGGTCTTAATTTTTTAAGATCATAGCAAGAAGATGTAGGCTTGACTATTGTACTGAGAACAAGTTCCTTCCATTTTTGTTTATAGTAGAGATGAATGGTATAATATTGGAAATGTACATATTAATTGAATGATATGCTATCCATCGAACTGCTAGGAGAAAAATAAGAATTGCTATTAGCTTTCATCTAAGAACCACAATAATTCCAATGTTATAGTTGGAAAAGCATGTAGCGATTACCATCTGTATTCATTTTCAAAGGTGGATGGGAATAATTCCGAGCTTTCTCAATTTTTCTGATTCTTCAAAGGAAGTACATTTATTAGTTTCGTGAATGAAAAAGTTTGGGTACGCTTTATTAGTCTCTCTCTTGCTGCAGATTTATGATAGATGTTCGGAAATGCTTACGGGTTACTGCAAGGAAAAATATGAAATTTCAGAATGAAGTTCTAACCGTATGTTATGTTGCGAGTTATTTGTTCACAACACGTTTCACAACTATATTTTAAGATTTGCGATTTGATCGAAGTGATGGTTCGTTTCCGCTTTTCTGCACTGGCGAATCGTCTTCTTCCAGTGCATGAATCCGCTTTACCAGAGGTAAATATGTTTTGCTCTTACAAGTTGATTGGATTTATCAGTTGTTTTGTTTGTAAGAGATAAAAGTTATAAGAAATGAAGTGGGTGGATGGAGTTCTAGTGTTTAAAGTTAATGTCATATGAAAATATTTATTTGTAGATTGCATTATCACAAGCAGTCAGTGTGCCGCCTAAAATACTTCGTGAATGTGATGTAGCCAATGTAAAGTGGAGTGTCGGTTTTAGCGGAGAAGGGAATCAACAAGTTGGTTCATTGCATACAAGTACGAAAGCTTCTTCTGTTCCCGAAGTAAGGATGGGTGGAGGAGCTATTGGCGGTGAAACTGTTGGAAAGAAACCACCTCCTGTTCTTGAATGGAATCCGCTTGTTCATACCGATTGGCAGCTTGGCGTTAGTTAATTTAATTTACTTTAGAAGTGCAATTGCGATTTTGAATATGGCATATTATATCCACACGTACGATTTAACCAATTTTTCGTGAAAGAATTGTAAATCCGGTTGTGACATTTGATAAGTTTGACTTATCGTTCTTTCCGGTGATTTTGGAATTATAATTTACAACTCATTATCATTTCCTTGCAAGTACGTTAAGTTTTCAATAATGAGTTTTTTCAGGTTGGAGGACGCTTGTTGCCAAAGCTACCACCAGGGACGAAAGTGGGGAAGCTTGTGATGGGAAAATATGGTCTTTATAAACCAGGATTGCATGAAATATCTCAGGAGTTCTTTGTAAGATGATATAATATTTTTCTGTATTAGAAATTTTCTAAAGGTATGCTGACACATATGCTGACTGCGTAGCGTGAGTTTATTTAGAACATATGAGTATATTGACGCACGGATAAGCAGAAGGATTTTATTTCCCAGTGCATAAAGACTCCAACTCTTGTTCCCCTAGCTGTCAAATAAGTATGGTGCTATTATCAGTTTGATTTTAATTTTCGAACTGTAGTTGTCCACCTCATGCCGCCTCCTTTTTGTCCCCTTATTCTTCTCTTTTTCTTGGAAAGAAAGGTGCGTACAGTAGGTTGAAGAGGTTGCATTTATGAAAATATAATCTCAGCTTTGAGTCGTTTTAATACATCAAGAAAAGCTCTTTGATAGTATTTACATGAACTAGTCTTCCTCTGCAATTCCAAATGAGCTAGAGCTATCATTTACTCTGACCTGTGATGTGAACTCAGTCGATTCCAGGCATCCCTATAACTCTGCTTGTAGAATAAAGTTAATAATGAAGGCATTTCATGAAATTTTTTTGGCTTTTCTTTCTCCTTTTGTTTTCTCTCCTTATTTAGATCAAAATAAAACATTTTTTCAGATCAACACTGAATTGAAAGGTATGGCACCGGAAAATGCACTGCCTTTATCTGCTCTCCTTACCAAGATTGCTAAGATCCTGATGCTAGTACCAATAACATTAGTCCTTCTCAATATGCCGACATTATATGCGCAGAAGCCAGTGGGTATTAATGCCGGATACATACCGCCGGGCCGAAACTAATATTCATCTTTTTGCTGTGATTCCATGTATTATATTAGCAAATCAGTGAAGTTTGTTTACATCGTTTTGCGAACAAGGATCGATTAGGTTTTTGTGTTTCAAAGAAGTGTTAGCTTTTGGATTTTTTGCTTAAAGTACAAGAGTTTTTAGTTATTTAGCACGGAAAAGAAAGTCATAAACTTTGTTTTTCTAGCGCTAACTTTACCAGTTTTTAAAGAGGGCTATAAGTGGAGTGGAGCTTTCATTAGCTATTGATCATTCACGTAGACTGATTATTACAATTTTAGAATGCTTTTTATATCCTATATGTAAAAGTTTAAATGGTTCATTTTTTATATTTCTTTTAAATAGTCGATTGAGTCGTACCGGTGCATAGGATATAGGTAGTATTCAGTAGTATTTTTTTATTTATATGACTCGCCTTTCTGTGTCATGTAATTTTGGCAGTATGAAGTAAAAAATTTCTTCTACCATTATTAGCGACAATATATTTCACATGCTAGCATGCAAGCAGCTTGTGGGTGGTTTTATGCTGTATGTTGTCTTAGTGAAAGTCTTTGGATCTGAAATAAATACTGAATTGCAAGTCGTACAAGAAATTTCGTAAAATCCTAATTTTTGTGGTGGTTTGATAAATTATGGGCGGTTGGATATTTCCAGTGCACTCTGTCTGCACAAAACGAAGAAAATGGATAGGAACCATTTTTTCACTCATTTTGTTGTCTATCTTAGAAATTTTACAGAGAATCTAATGCATTCTTATCAATCCACTATTTCATTATATCTTCATCAATAGTCCTTTAATTCAGTAAATGACTAGTTACGTGATGCGCCTTGCTTAAGACTGTTGATCGTTACATCGATTAACCGGTAACATGGTTACAGGTTATAACATTTGAAATATTTTAGTGGTAAGGAATCTTTCTGACTAGATTCACATGAAACGTCGGAATAGTTTGTTCCTTTCATCAGGAAGTGGCTTCGGTAACAGTGAAGGCGTTGAGATTGCAATCGAAATGGCGCCAGGTGAACCGCTTCGATTATCACCGGAGATGATTACTGAACATATTATCATGTCTGAGTAGTAAGTTTTCTGCTGTTTTCCGTATATTTATACATTCATAATTCACTACAGTGCTATTCATTGCAGTGCTATGATTTGTCGAGATCCAATAGATGGTTTATATGCGGTACCAGGTGCTCGAAATAAGTTCGGTAATTGAATACTGTTTTTTTCATGTATATCATACATTTTGTTTGTCTAGCGTTTTGTATGTTTCTAGCAAAGTGGATGTTTATAAGAATGGCATTTATTATTTCATTTTGTAATACGACTTTACAAAGGCACAAACAAAAATAAACTTCGGTCATTGAATGTTTTCACATGAACACGCTTTCTGAAACAAAAAAAAACTCTTGTTATACAATAATAAATTGACCTCACAAATCGTGACATTTATAATACATTCTTTTCTTACTTTTTTTGGTTGAACTTTAAGTTTATGTTGTGTCGGAAAATTCATTTCGGCATAATTTTTTTGCATTTATAGAGGCAAATACATAAATAGCGATATTGAGCTTCAGTATATTTTTCCACTTAAGCTTGTTTTAGAATGGTTCGGTTTGTTGTTTATTCGACGGGGTGTCTACGCTGGTGCTATCTTTCGCTTCACTTTGCATCTTCCTCTTGATTTCCCATCCACGGAGTTACCAGTAACACATTTCAAATTTCGTATTCTAGACATTATATGTTGAACGTGGAACTTATGACGTTTTTTTACCTCAAATTGTATTATTCTTTTCGAGCGAAAGTTAACATCTTTGATACATTATAGATGAATTGCCGCTGAAACATCCGTTACTGAGTGCAAAACTTCATGCTTATACGAAATGAAAGCATCGCTGAAGTTTGAAACATGTGGTTACGCTATATTACTAGGAGCTTTAATTTGTTTTTTAGCTTTCTATATGTTTTTTGCAGACAGTAGTTTTCGATTTGGACGTATTTCACCCACATGTTAACCCAGCTACACGAGAGCTGGATTTGAAAAAGTATTTCGTTGGTGGTTGGAAATCTGATCAGCATCATCTCTACCACATTTTGCTTATTGTACAGGTACATGTTGCATCTGTTTATTTTGTTCTTTCTTGAAGAAGGTTTTAAGTAAGAAGGTATCTAATTCATAAAATTATGGTAAACAGAAACTATATTGCTTGCAATACATTAATTGCCATGAGAATGCAAAAAAAAACAAACAAACATAAGTTTCAGTAAATGAATCTATTTAGTTCGTTTTCAGAGGACATTTTTTACATTCGATTCAAACCCAACGACGTGCGCTAATACCGAAGCAGCAGCATTACTTCGCGATAATAGAGAATTATACAGAATGCGAGCCAGCGAACTTATCAGGTGAGCAAAAATTTTTTCGAAAATTTATAAGTAATGAAGTTCTATTTTCTTTAGCGGAATTACGCCTTTTTATCTCAAATTATACCATTATTTTTGTGAAGAATGGCATGATTTGAGCTGCAAAGATTCCATCTTCATATGTCTACGGTGCAATTTAGAGCTTCTTTTTCACTTATACGATGTAAATAAAGTTTTGTAGGAAAAGTCGGTCTGTTATATACGAACCTGTTGAAATGGACGATGCAAATGCCATTAGGTGGGTGTTACATATTGTTTCTTTAATCGTCTTGAAATACATTCATTACTTGGACTTCGAAATTTTCATTGTAATTAATTCATCCAAATGGACACAACTAGTTACACCACTATTTTATTTGTGCTGACCCATTCCATTGATCAATCAGATTTACTTTTTTAACTAACTGAAATGCCCATTACTCTGGGTTCTGCACTAGTGTGCTCTACTAGACATCTAGATTAAGTTAAATAAAAGTATAGTTGAAAACAAAATTAACTTTCAGGCTTATGCCATGGGATGCATCCATTCACGAGCCATTACGACAAAGGCTTATAGGTGGACTAACTGACAGTCAAATAAGTACAATGTCACTGCTAGGTTCGCTGGGTTGTGGCCTTAATAGGTCGTCGGTATTCGAATCCCGAGCTAAACACGGGTTTTCTTGGATTTCTCCAACCGATTTATGCTATATGGTGGAACCGCCGAGACCAGTTGAGCTTGATCTGAAAGTATATTAATATTTTCTTTTTCCATTTCTCTCTGTTAATGACTGATGTTCCGTAAAGTGATTTACAGGTAATATCAGAAACGGAAAATTGTCCAATGAGTGCAGAACCATCCTACGCTTCTTGTCCAGGTTGTTTTTGCTTTCTTTTGAACGCTTTTTGCAAATTAGGTATGTCATATCCACTGGCCAATATCGCTTAAACGGAAATCTTGCCGTACCTATCCCTACTTTGTATTTCTTATCTACATATTTTTGTTACTGTTAACTAAAAGATGAAAATTATGCAGGTGAGTTAAACGACAACAGTGTAGCAAGTGAAACCATCATTCCTCATCTTTCCGGATTGGACTTGAGTGATGGAAGTTACTTTAAACAAGAAAATGGGAAAGAATCACAAAAAGAATCCGAAAAAAATGATTCAAGTCTACTAAAAGTGAGATTTTTTATTTGATTGGAAATCATGAGAGAGAAAGAAGTGGTGGTACACTTTTTTGAGTGTTGTTCCCGGTTGTTCGTATAAATAGTATCTTTTAATTAAATACCACAATCCTATGTTTAAATTTTAGGTGGTAGTCTTTTCTATGCTTTCCTTATTCTTAATTTTAAACGCAGGATGAACTGCAAAATGAGGATGATGTTAAAGATCTTGTTGCCAAAAATAACGAGAACAATGGCCTAGCAGAGGAAACGTGTGAGGAATGGGAAAGTAGGGAGCAGGAAATAGATGTTAAGCCATTTTCTCGACTGGAAGAATCTGCTCATAGAAGAAATGAATACGTAAAGATTTCGCGAAGTGCTGATATATCAGATGAAAATGCTGTCCGAGTACGATCAAGTTGGAACAGTGATGAAGTTGGAGAAAGTGATATATGATGGGGAATAATGAATGATTCATTTGTCACTGTCAGTTCATTTCTGTAGTAGAGCATTTCAGAATTTTTTGCTGTGAGTGGAAAATAAAAGTTCTTGCAAAGGAAGAAAAAAAAGTATAATTTTGTCATCCAGTTCGGCATTTCCTGGCAAATTATTGGGGGACCATATAAAATTATAAACAGGCAGGAAAACTTCAATTAACACAGTTCCATATGTACTTGAAGTTGCACTACTGATAAGTTATGGATAAGTTAACTATGCATGACAAGTTAAACTAAGTTTATCAAATAAACGAACTTTATAATCACAATGGCTCATTGTAACGTAGCGTAAAGGAGAATGCCAACAATCGTATTTTTGGGAATATATGAGCTTTCTTGTGCGTTTTTCGTGAATGATAAGATTTTTCACATTAATAATCATATTTAATGTGCCACTGATCAGAAAGTGATAATATGATATTGTTCTGATTTTAAACCAAAATTTTTATTTAAGGCGAGAATCCCAAGATCTTAAGAGAAGGAAAGACTTCCGCTGGTGTTACTTTTTTAGGAGTGAGAGAAGACACAGCAATGCTTCCGATCCTCTCCTCCCAGATGAGTGCGCAAATAAAAATTTGCGAAATAGAATGGAGAGGTACCATTGTGAACTAATGATTATAAAATATGACTTGGGTATGATTAAATGCAATGAAATAGAGATGAAAAGCAGAAGCGATTATTATGATAGGATGAAATCGATGACTGGTTGAACCGACGAGAAGAAAAGATGACATCTCCTGAAGCTACTACTACTGCTATACTTACTACAGCTACTACAGCTATACTACTACAGCTTGATGCTGCCGCTGCTGCTTTTCTTGATCGATACATGTCAGCTATGGTTGATATTTTAGCGCATTTGCAAGATTTTAGAGTTATGCTATTAGTTTATTGATGCTTTTATAAAAGAGTAAGTGAGTGAGGCTGAGATTCACTTTAAAAACGGTCCCCTCTCCTTCATTTTCATCAATTTGCGGAAGATCTTTTGGCCTTTCACGCTTCTATTTCTCATTTTTCTCTTTTGGTCTTCCACGCCTCTATTTTTCATTTTTAGTTTGAGAAGGACCAATTTCTCTCCTCATTACCCCTCAACACTTTCTTCACTATATAGTATGTTATAAATAGTATGTTATAAATACTTTTTGAAATTTAAGCCTACTTTCATTCCTTTTATTTTTAATGTTCTTTAATGATAGCTTATCAGATGATGGATATGGATAGCTTTTTTTGGACATACTGAATGATTATGTATATGTCACTTTACGGATATCATTTGATCTATTTAATTAGTGTAAGCAAATCAAGCCTTTCGGCAATGAAATATATCATCTAGCTTTCTTTTTTACAATACCAAGTTACTTGAGAGTTACTTAATTAAAATACAAATATAATTAATATACGATGCAATAATTGTATTTATTCGCTTTTAATATATGAAGTTTTCTATTATTTTCTGGAAGATCATGCATGCTACGACAACATTCCGAAATTGCATATGGGTGAAAAATGTTTACTTTTACGATGCCTTCTTCAAATGGAGAGGTTGTAAAGGTCTTAGCTTTTTCACTGGCATAAGCAATTTTCAGAATTACTTGTTTATTTTAGTTTCAATTTGAAGAGCTTCTAAGTAGAAAGGATTAAGAAGTTTGTTTCTTTTTTTTTGCAATATTCAAAATTCAAAAAAAAAGTGTTTGTTGAAAGATTTAAACATCTTTCTTCCAGATCGGCTATTATTAACTTCTTAGCTATCATAGCATAGAAATTTGAGAGAAACAATTCAAATAGAAAAATAGCATAATCGTCGTTTAGGTTTAGGAGATAATAAAAATATTCAAAAAGTTTTTTGAGAGATGTAAATTAATCCTCGAGAGCTTTTCACTCTTTATTGTTGAGAAATCTCAAAGGAGAAAAGAAAACAATATATGAAACATTTTTTCAACGATATCTAAGGCCAATCGAAATATGGATCATTCAATGCTCCTATTCTACATTAGTACTTCTATTTTCATCTCTAATTATTAATTCATATCTTTTAGAATAATTAATTTTTGAAAAAATTATTGAAATGAATTGAATTATTGAAATGCCTCAACATTTCCAATAATTCGCTCTCACTTTAATTGAAGAATCTATATTTCAATATTCTCATTGCATAATCTTTCTATTCGTTCACTTCCTCATTTCATTTCATCGATATCACCACAACTACTATTACTGCTACTACGACTATTACTATTTTATCCATCTGTTTTCTTATTTCTATTTTTAAATAAACGAAAAGTATTCTGATTTTTCCGTTCCTTTCGCTAAAGCATTTCTTTCCACTTCTTTTTTATCAATTTCGTAGCCATTAAAATTCTTATCATAAACAAAAATGAACACTGATGAATATATGATAAGAATCCATGAGGTACTTCTTTTTCTTCTTCTTCTTCTTCGTCTTCTGTATATTTCTTTTCTCTCACACGTAATTGAATTTTATGAAAATTCATTATTTTTCATTACTTCATGTTGCTCTTATCATTGCTTTTAACAGAGTCATTTATATGTTACTGACAATATCACTGATGATAAAATTAAAGGAAGTTTTATGATTCATTATTGGTACAATTCATTGTGTTGTTGAAGTGTGAATCAATCGTTGCAATAATTGAACTTTTTTTTCAACTGAAAAAATATAATCATTGAAAAATCACTAATGCAACATTACAAATTGCAAGACATATATCATCGAATTACATTCATTTCCTATTTTCCACTTACTTTCACTATGATGATGGTATCCTGTGATCTAGATTAAGGTAAAAATAAGATTTAAATATCTCATTTAAGTGTTTCTGTTAAAACAGTTAATGAATTGTAAAAAGAAAACAATAAGTTGACAACATTTTATCATTCCCATATTTTAGTTTTAATGTGTTGTAAATGGAATAAAAATGCATTATGAAAGATTAATATGTATACCATTAGCTTCTATGAGTTATAATAAGGGCCATCTTCAACAACAATTCATCCGAAGAGAGAAAAGCCATCATTTGTTATTGTCATCTCATGATTGATCCACTTCAAACAATTATGCTTTCTTTAAAGAGATGAGCAATTTTTCAGTATCTTCAATTTTTCCGTAATGAATTATTTCATTTCATATTTTACTATCATGCAAAATTTCTTCCGATAATAATTTTTTAATGCTAATTTAAAGAATTTATTTCCGGTAGAATGACTCTCACAACCAATTATTTACAAATTATAATGTTTGAATTGACTGCTGACAAATAATTTAATTGACTATCATGGTATTATGAACACCTTAGGGATTCATATAGGTATGCGGATTTATATTGATTTTAGTTCCGATTATTAGAATTCTTCCAATGAACGCTTTTTGTGATCGCTTCGGAACTTCGGATTCATTTCGAAATGCTTCTAACTATGATTTACTGATATACTTTGAAGTCTATTAATCGTCCAAGTTTACTTTTAGAATAGCAACCTATTTTGGTGGAAAAACAAACAAGGAATAATCGGAAGCATATCAAGAGATTAGCAGTGTCGTTTTATTCTTTAATGTTTTTTTGAAGTAAGGATCGACGCTGTGGTGACAATAAGGATTTATGGAGAGGGAGGGGGACGCCCCGCTCGGCATTTCACTCCGAGTTATTAGCAGCTACCCCTCTCTCTGCTCTAAATTACTGTAATATTATCATCAGCGCAATCGTTGGCAGTGCCTTTGAAATGAACTATCAGTATCGACTATCCTCTTAATGATTAGTTATTTTACAAGCGATAGTTCATTCAAACAAGTGATATAGCTGGTCCAAACGTTTTCTACCACTTTATGTAAGGCGTGTATGGCGCCTTGCATAAATTCTTTAGTAGACAAACCGATACGAAGGATCGGTCAATTCTTATTCATTATTATGATGATAATGCAGGGTAAGTGAAAATCATCATTTCTTATATTCATTTCACGTCTAACCTTAACTTCTGTATATGTAGCACTGCATTCATTACAAGATGAAAAGCTTTCAACACATTATCCAAAGAAATGGAATATTCTCCTCATTTTTCAAATTAGCTAATTTTCCATTCTTTTTTTTTCCTGTAGAAGTGGACAGTATCGGATGTTTTGTTTGCTTCTCATTCAACGGATCAGATCCATCCTGTGAGGATACATTTAACTCGACGATACTTCACAAAGAATCGAATAGGATTGGTGTAGGAAACTACCATTATCCTTGTTGGGCCCTCAAAAAAAAGCGCCAGGGTTTATTTCCTGCTGATCATTGCATCAAAGTGAATGGACACCGAAGTATGATATCATCTTATCATTTTTTATTATTGTTGGAGTTAATTTTAAAAATGATTTAAACAAATTAAAACATAACTCAAAAATTTATAAGTTGTGCAATAGTTGGAATAATTGGTAAGTGTAGAAATCTTACGTATAATTTGATTTACTATCTTTGTTAGTCACCCATAACACTGATAATTATATTATTATTATGTTATGACTAATTTATCACATAATGCTTATAGTAGACGATGCGTCACAAACTATGGTAATTCGGACTTGTGCGCTGGATTCGGGTACTTTCACTGCAGATACAGGTACATGTGCAACTATGCACAAATTGACAAGTTTGGTAGGGCAAAAAGGAATAACATTGGGATGCAGGATATATATCTCAGTTGTCTTACCTTTTTTCTTAATTAGATCTCCATGTTATTAATGTATCAGCACTTCAAGTGAACAAATTAAGCAATTTAAAGAACAAAATTAGGCTTGCATTTCATTAATGGGGTAATTTCATTTCACTTCTCTTCATATCATTATACCTTAAGTAGGGATGTTATGTTGTGGATTATTTCAGTTTTTAGAGAAAAAATGCAACGATTATCAGAACTGAACGTAATTTAATCCTTGTTTTTTATTTCCAGAAATTGTACGCATATCGCATTGCGGTCATTTCAACTATAAGGGTCATCAGTATTCTGGATGTGTTCAATCATGTGATACTGATGGATGCAATGGTGCTAATAAAATGAATACCAATTTATACATTCCCTATGTGGTACCAATAATAGTCATGATTTTTATCACTCTTCATTATCAAAGTTCACCTGATTTTATGAATATCAATATATTGTTAGAAATTGTTGATAGGGTGTTCATACGTGTCCTCACTTGTAATTCTTTTTGCTATTTATGATTGTTGATTATGGACATTTCCTTAACAGCTTTCAAGCGTTACCATTGCGGATGACACTAGCAAGAATAATTATCAGAGATTCATATCTTCGTTTACCTTTTTACTTTTGAAATATCAAGTATTACTGCACATATATATATATATATATATAATTAGGCACCAAGTATATATACCTGGTACCTAATTAAGATTGACTTGAAAGCCTAAAATATGTGACACAGTATTTAGGGTAGGCTAGAAATCACTTCAAACATTTATCGAACCACACGCGCATAATTTGTATGATGACGTATAATTGATTATGCATTTGTTTTCGTGACTTAATTTGACATATTTTCCACGCGTACAGTGAAAAAACGTGTTTTTCTGTATCTGAAACAGTCTAATGCTAGTCTGCTTCGCGTGATACCACAGTTTCGCAAATCAAATATTGTATAATCAAAAGTATCTCAAAATTTCTCATTTTGGATGTTTTAGAAATACCTCATTGAAATTCCTCGACGAAGTGAGGAATCTCAGTAATTCCAGTTGTAACAAGTACCAGGTTTATTTTAATTCACTCTACATTTGTCACTGGTGGTTTTTTTCAACGAGCACTCTCCTAAGAAGTTATTCCATTCCATTCATTGCCTTCTTATCCCATCGGCAACTTCTGATTGGAATAAATCACCAAAAATGGAACAGGACAAAGTGACGCAACATTTGTCCTATAGCTTGCTCAGACAGAGGATCTTAGATTTGTGTGTACCAATATATCCAGTCGAATACAGATGCCGATATTCAGAACATGATAGTTCTCTACTTCGAAGCTTTTTGTCTTAGACTATCCCTATTTTTGAGATATTGGAATACCTGCTCCTACTTTCATAGAACATCTGGACCACAAAATGGTTCCATTCGGCCCCACCGAAATAACTCAAACCACCGGTAGCTCGTTTCTATAACAAACTTTTTGCATCAATTTTAACTATATGTCAAAAGCTCTGCTATACGCTAATTCCTCGCAAATTTGCAATGTCATATATTACCCCAGCCGGAAACTAGGACCAAACTTCAAAACTTCAAAACTGTGTGTGTGGAATTGGTGTGCCTGCTGAATAAAATACACACCATCCGTTATCAAATGCCTAAATTGACAACACCATTGAAGAGAACAAAATTTCTTTCAAGTGATAAAACTCTGGATAACCGCTATTACCGTAGGATAAACACAATGAATTTACAGACAGTGTAAAAGTCGCCAAATCCAATATGCAGACCAAATTTCTTTAAAAACTACATTACTGAACAAAAGACAAATAAGATGTCATCTCGGTATACTAACTCATTGTATTTGACATACGTAGAGCATAGTGCATATCATTCCACAAAAAACTTTTTAAAAACACAAATACTACTATTAAGCAACAAAATATATATTGCGATAGTTCGCAACTATTGCAACGGGAGTCTGCTGAACTGGGAACGAATGAAGGAAACGAGATAAGTAAGTAACAGTCATTTAATTACAAATGATAAACCTAGAGTTTTCAATTTCATTATATCCCCATATTAAGGATTCAGTACTTCATAGAAAAGTCGTATGATTTACCCAATTATGAAAAACTCATTCCTCGCACAGCAACAGCTACAGATTCACCTTATGCCCTCATAACGCACGAATTTGCTTAATATGATATATTAATATGGTAGTACCATCAAATTCCACTGCATTTGATGAGTATACAGAAACATTAACAGAAATGGCGAAGAAAGTATATAAAGAGATATACAAACCATACGTAGCAGCCATCGACATAACAGCAAATTGGTAAGTATTGTGATTCTGCCCGTTGTGCAAATCATTGAAAATTTTAACAGCTTTATAGCAAGAAAAATTACTATTAGTGGAAAAAAGGATAAGCTCGAAGATAGTCAGATATAAATGCTAAAGATCAGATCCTTTAAGCTCCATTCCAGCAACAGCGAAATCTAAGCATCTTGAACGATGTCACTGTAAACTCTAAATATGGTGTTATTACTTAGTTCTATAATCCAAAATCTCCAAACATCATAAGATCATATATGTCTGCGAAAGGCATGTACTACCATTAATTTGGCAAGGAAGAAAATGTCAGCAGACAAAGCATATAGTGGTGTTAAAGCGGAAGAAAAGAAGGTAGTGAAGTAGAAGAGGAAAAGAAACGATAAGAAATAGGGGGAAGAGGAAAAGAAACGATGAAAAATAGGGGGAAGAGGAAAAGAAACGATGAGAAACAGGGAGAAAGATTGCATTTCGGAAAATTGATTTGCAAAATAAACCCTTCTTTCGCATCCGTTCATGCAATAGTTATTTGAACTTTCATATAAAATTCACATACACGATTAAGCAAATTTAATATCATCAAATATGGGTTAAAAAAATTAAAATAATTACAAAAGAATCAGCGAAATGAGCATTATACACAGCGATTTAGTGCATCCCATGCGGGAGCGGACATATTATTAGTATGTCTTTTCATGATTGATATCACTAGCAGCGGCCGCTGATTTCTTCAGGAATGGTACTTTTTCATCAATTCTGAAAATAAGTGTTTTTTAGTACCAATTTTTATTGTCTGTTAATCTGTACACGAGCTAACTTGAATTTAACCAGAGAGGCATAGAAAAATTAAGTTCATATTTGAATCCTCCAAAATAGTCTCAATGATTGTAATTTTCCTCTATCCAAAATAAAGCAATGGTATTGCATATGGAAACCGTATCGATAACAAGGTTCCTCATCAAAAAGACGAAGACATGATATTGGTTATTAGCACTGACGAAGTAGAAATATGCTACGTACATTTCAGTCCTCTGTGCACTAGCATCTCCCAAGAAGACACAGTATACCGACAATTAAATAACAAGAAAAAATTATATACGCTTACATCTTGTTTATGTTGTCAACATGTTGCTTCGCTATGGAAACATTACGATCAATAGGTCCCTGGTAAACCTCATACACTTTTGGGATTGTGAATACAGCTAATACAGCTGAAAAGGATTTCAGTAATATATGAATATAACTGTAATGACAGCTTACTATCTCTTTTTCTAAGTTTCTTACAGAATCACTTCAGTGATACTTGAAGTTTACGTCCGCTACTTATGAAAATAGCGAGGGAAGGGGAAAAGTAGGTGATGACAACTTAATGTGGGAATAGGATATGCCGGTCTTTTTTCAGAGAAGTTCTACGAAATAAGTTATCAAATATTATTACTAAATTAAAGGGAATGAAATAAAAAACTCACCAATTATTAATAGAGAGAGACCAGAGAACCAGCAGCTGACGTATGTAAGCGCCCAAAGTAAAAGACCGAACTGAAATTACTACCATTGTGATTTTGCCAATGAAGTTCTATGCTGAAATGGCCTATTCACCTATATCAAGCTGAAAGGTGAGTAACCTATATTTGAATAGCAAATTTTCTTCACTGAAAAAAAATCAGATCACAGATATTTCTTAGACTTCAATACTCCAATATTTTAAAGAGCACTATCATTTTCCATGCAGGAAAAACAGGTTACCTTAACACTTTCCACAATATTTTCCACCAAAAATAACCGCCTCAGCTTGTCACCGATAAACTGCACATATTCGATAAGTGCATCAACTTGGTGATGCACTTTTTCTTTAGGTAAATGCAATTGTTGGTTCTCCAAATATGCCCTAAATTAAATTGTCTAGACTTAACATATACCAAGACACATTTGTCCGGTGCATCCGACAATTCTTTTGATGTTAACAAAATGAGGGCTGGTACAATGACTTAATATCTCCATTTTCAGAAACGTAATGAATGGTGAATTCGCCATTCAATATTCATTACGTTTCTACTTAGTCTTTTTTTGCCAGAAGTTAAAAGCGTTAACGAAGAAAAGAGTGCCCCACTTACTGATATGGATTCGCGCCATCCGTTTTTTTAATCTGTGCTTCAATCAACTTATAAATGCGAAAACCGAGTGTACCACCAAGGACTGATAGTCCAACGTAACTAAGGACTGCAATCAACGGGAACTTGGAGAACACCAGCAACGCAAGGAGAATAATTCCAAGTATTGCACCAGATTTTTTTGGATCACGCCAATAAATTATATCCAAAACTAAAAAGAGAACTGTGCACTATTATCTGTATAATCAACCGCAATGAGTGACATTATACCTCCTTCTCAGATAATAATTACTAATAAAAGTTGCCGACCTATTATTTTATTGACAAAAGAGGAACATAAAATTTGTATTCCAGGATAACGTCCCATATGGTTATTATATTAAAGCAGAAAGCTTAGTGAGACCTTGTTCGGTTATAATTCCAATCATAAAATCAGTTAATGAACACAGGTTTCTCCTACGTTCCTATGCTCATAATTGCTATCAGAAAATGTACATTCAAGCAAAATATAATTACGTGAGTTTTTCTTATTCCAGCTTTTTTTGAACTTCCTTCTTTTGCTGAATAGGCTCAAAGTTCCGGTCAAGTATCTGGCTCAATATATATGAATACGAAATTTGAAAACTCCAGACCAAAGTCGCAAAATTAAGAAAAAAAGTGATTAGAAATCTCTATCATTACATCACAAATTTTCCTCTTCCGATAAAAATGATAAGTTTTACTAAGTGCTTTCATTCCTATAGTGGGGTAAACTTAGTAACGTTCCAACCAAATGAGAATAGCACGTCCAAAAAGTAGCACAAGCTTCATCTTTCTTTAAATTATCTTTAAATTGCTATTCAAATAATTACCATCTTGCCTTTGCGATAAAGCTCGTTTGCTAAATTGACCTGCAGCATGTAGGGTAATTACAACGGTTACAATCAAAGCCGTCGTGAGGCCAAACCGAAAAATGGTACGAGTTGTTAGTGAAATCAGGGCATATCCGGCTCTGAATAGGGTATCGAAAATACCTGAACTACCAACTCTCGAATCTGCCATTGTCACGCACGAGTGCTGTCAACCTGACAAATTGCACTTAATAACATAAATTATTCACCATTAAACTATCTTAAATTCATGCACACGCAAGAAGGTTATTGAGGCCATTATATTTTCCATGAGAATAAAAGTATTTATTGAGGTAGAAAAATGTGTAAATCACAGGGTCGAAATCATCCCAAAAGATCTCGAGGCTAGAAATTGGGTAGAATTCTTGATTGGTGTGTGATTCAGGAAAGAGTCTCTCTTTCATTCAATATGCCTTAAAAACGAATCAATATGACAAGCTTCATTTTTCTTACTAACCACTTTAAAATGATTTATGCCGAACCATACAGACACAATTCTTAGCAGACTTTTCTACACATTAGCAAGTATTTGCTATGAATGGAAGGAACACTGAAATGGCACATAAAGGATAGATGTCATAAAACAATCACAGGACCCATTCGCTTCATTTCTGATCCATTATATTTGATGGTCGCCGCTTTCCTCTCAAATAGTGTCTAACTATAGCAAAGGAAGATAATCTTGACAAGATCAGTAATCAGTAAAAAAATTCGAAATATCCCACGTATTAGTTAGGTAATAAAGAAGAGCATTAAAATTCCAATCCATTATGGAGAATGAATGCAGCGGACAAGACTGGTGGGGATAGATGTTGTTGTTGCTGCTACCACTGCTGCTAGATGTAAGAGTGTGAGGTAATGTGCAGTACTGATGCAATGCTCAAACTGGAAAACCACGGGACAATCCAATAACCTTATCGATCTTTCTCTTTTTCTGCTCGATTTGCCTCATTCTCTCACTCAGCAATAGCAGCAGCAACAGCAACAACGCCACATGCATATACACCTCTCTCCCTTTCTTCCTCCAGATATACGAGCAGTCATCGCCTTTCCATCAGATGATAGTGATGTGAGAAGTGTAAACAAAGATGCGTTATTAGCCTAAGAGAGAATTTATGGATGACAGATTGGGCTTGAGGATGATCAAGTAAATCATTTCAAAAGGCAGCTGAATAACATAATCGGCTGTTGAAGGAGCTTTTATCTCTCCTTAATATACCAGATATAGCGGGGAAAATTTTCTCATGAAAATTATTACAAATTATTAAGGCATCCATAAAGCTGGGATATCTAGAAAGAAACTAAAAGAGCATACGCGTAAATTTGTTAGTTGGTTGATGTGTAATATGTCAAGCTAAGGGGGAATGAAGTACAAGATTCAAGAGAATTGAGAAAAGAAAATTGTAGCTGTTCTTTTCTTTTTTTTTGTTTGTTCCAATCGTGAAAAGGGAGCATGTGTTCTGTCTTGAAATAGAGATACTACTTTGATCGTTGGGGAGAAAAACTGAGTATCAGCTCTGTTTGAAATTCACTCCTTAAGAAATGATGTGATACGTGATCTCTAACGAAATGGTGAACATGCAAAGTTTCCTTCTAATTTCTGATCACTTCTACTACTCCCCCATCCTTTTATCTTTTTTCGGCGATATTGAAACTGAAAAAGATTTTTACCAGTGAAAAAAGCAATTATTTATAAGTTCCTCTTCTACTATTTCGTGTAATTTGGAACAAACATTGCTAATATTACAAACTGTCTTGTGTTTTTTGCACTGCTTCAAAAATAAGTGCCGGATGCATTGTGCACAGGAATGACTTCTTCAAAGCAATTCCATCTTTAGCGCTTGCAATAATATTCACTTAGCAGTCAGTAAGATTAAAAAGCCGTGAACGGTAAAGGAATGAACCAAATGCTGTACTTTTTTAAAATAATGCTACAGAAGCGAAAAAAGTGCTTCTATGATAAACTTACTAAATCGAAACATTTTTTATAAAACGTGATAAAGCAAAGTTACCTCCAAGCTTTTTCACTTAGTAAGAAACAGACTTGTTGGTTACTAAATCTCGACTAATTATTGCCTATTATTTGAAAATTTAAAACTTCCGAATCACCGCCTTCACCCTTCACTTTGTTAATTTCAGCAAGTTTTAGAAATACCATCCCTAATTTTTTCAAAATCCAACAACATCTGACAATATACTTGTTACATTTTATGCAAGCAGAGGTAGCAGCGCGAAAGACACGCTGACAAAGAAATCGATTTTATTCTCTATCGTCGTTTCTGGATGCCTCTTAGCTTTAATAGCAATTCACCAACAATACATAGTATAGCCTCCAGAAATAAATAGAATACATCGTGCAGCGAAACCAATATCATTTGGTGTATACCAGATACAGTATACCGCCATATTACCAAACCTCTAATCACCCCAATCTTTTATACTATAAGAATTTGATGCAATTCCCCATGCAGGAAGCCTTAGGCAGTAACCATAGCAATATGTAACGTGAGAGATGATGTGGTCTTTAAATTTAGATAATGTTGGATCCCAAATTGCTGGACAATAATAAGAAATGACGAATAAGGTGACTAATAGAATGTTCATCAAACAGCGTCATCGATATTAATTAACGTAGGTTCTCAGAACTGAGCTTGGTTTACCCGAATGCAATATAATACTTTAAATATTGTTCATGATCTATTTTTTTGCTGGACTTATAATTGTTCTTAGCCAGAACTAATAAAATCAGCTATATCCAATAGGTGATAAAGTTCCGAGGAGGCAACAATGGCAACTTACATCTCGCATCCCAATTCTTGAAATTAAATCTGACACCTTGTGCATTGTTTTTCAATATGGAACTTGGATGTCCACTACTGGCAACTGAAAAATTTATTATATCGTCCCTGTTCAATGTGTTTGTAAATTGGGCTAGTTTGCGTTACAACTCCTTATAAAAAAAAATATTCCGAGTAAAGCATTTGCAAAGATAGACTGCATCCTAAAAGAGCCACATCTTCCTCAATCTCTTTCGAAAAAACTATGTTGATAGACGTAATATTCTATCTATTCGACGTCACACATCATCGTTTTAAATATAACTTTCGCTAATTGTAATCTATTAAATAGTGAAAATCAAACTTATTATCACCACAACGGTGTTAAATTCCAAGAACTCCAAGAACCACATTTTGCGTCATTAACCGTAACATACTTCAACTAGTAATGATTGCTGTGCAAAATGTCCTATTCATCGAAGTTATTACTCGTAATTACAAAAATTCCCAGTATCTTGTTGGGACAGTGTTAAATGAAGCCTCTTTCATTCATCAGGTCGTATATGACACCGTTATAGATCTGCTAGATCAACCAAAAGGAAATGGAAATTATTCATTTCCTTATCAATGGCAAAATAAAATACGCTAGAGTCATTAAATTAAGATGAGATTCTAGCCTTTTACTCTTTTTGCATCGCCATATCTCATCAATATTGAAATTCGATTAAAAAAATGTTAACGCTGCGAATATAAAACATCAAAAAAAAGTAAGTGAAGGGCAAAGTCTTGAAAATCATAGAGTGACCTTCAATCATACAGTTTATGCGCTTATAAAGTCATCGTGGTAGAATGGATGAGAATCAATTTAAAAAGTAAAAATAAATAAAAGAATGGGAAAACTCATGTAATCTACCTGCTGTTCGTCCCAAATCAATCGTGGTCGGTTTGACATCCTCATCGTCATACTCTTTTGGTGGTGTCGGGGGACGGGGTGACACATCAAAACCACTGCAAGTGAATAAATAGTATGGTGAAGATTCAAATAACGCAAAAGCTACCTTTTTATCTTTTATTACCGCAATTACTTTCCTTATCCTCTTCGCAAATCTTATCCGATTATCCAAATGGCGCTTACCTTTGTTTTGAGGAGTTAAAGCCATGGTCGAACTGGTCGAACTGTTTTGTATCTTTGGGAGTCTGCATTCAATATTTGCGAAAAATATTAAGAGAGAAATACAGATATAAAGGTTATGAAATATAATTCGGTTCAAAACTCTGAGAATTTGAGAAAGAAATGTGAATTTGCAACGAAATGCATTGGCTGTGGAAGGATTAACATGTAACAGACTATATTGAAGTAATAATCTTGATTTCACATTGCACTAGGAGTTTTATCAATCGACTGAATACAAAAAAGGCTAACCTGATGTGGTATAGTCAATGGTCCTTTTCTGTCAAACATACTTTCTTCTGCACTGTTATCATCTAAAATATGAACGATATTAGCAGAAAAGCATTTAGTTTACTTGAAGCTCAAAAAAAAAAAAACAAAAGATAAACATAAGAGTATCCTTCACGATGTTGCAAAAAAGGTAGGAAATGAGCCGTTCACACGACTAAGACACACCATGCTGTGGAGCATTTGCAGCGAACATTTTCGTAATCATCGAGTCTACTTGATCATGTACATCAACAATTTCATCATGTATTGCATTTTCTAAATAAATATAAAATAAACGTATAGCTGTAAAATGTGCTATGCCGATTTTACTAATGACGATTTATGAAAATGTGCTGCAGCAGTCCTTTAAGATAAATAAAAAGTAATAAATCCTCTGATTATTTACTCAGTGTTAACCAAAAAAAAAGAGTTAGTAAGCGGACATGGGTCGATTCGGTGATTTTCAGTGTTAAAATATAAACAAATTTAAAATAAATTAGTTCAAAAAATTTAGCACATTGAGAAAAGAGTATGAGAACAATTCATCCGTTGATGTTCTATTCCCACAGTAACTTATTTTATTTAAATTAAATAGAACATTAGTGAACGATGAGCAACTTGAGACCAAATCTTCTTTTTTTGATTGACCATTCACAAATTCCAGCATTTATTAACACTCACTGTATTCAAAAAATGGTCGGACGACATTGGGAAGAAATGTGGTGTACTGCCGTATATACATCGTAAAATGAAAAACAGTTACTTGTATGAGTGTATTAATATGAAAAAATAATATGACAGAAACTTAAGCTGTGATTTATTGTTGTGCTTCTAAAGCCCTCAAAAATACATAAGGAACATGAAACACAATGCTATGACCTTTTCTCATCGTCATTTATCTTTTTTCTCTCCTTCAAGTCTCACTTCGCTTTTATATACGGAATTATATACCGAAATCTTTTCTGCACCGATACGTTCATTGGCTTTTAGTGAGCATTCCCTTTGCAAAAACAATATATAACAATAACAAACTTGAAGTGCGAAAATGAAATGTTCAATAAGAAAAATAAGAAGCTCAAATCCAAATTGAGCACTACTCACCTGCAGAGTGAGCTGCTGGTTTTACATCAAAACCAAAATGGGGTGCATCGATCCCTGCTCCTTCGTTAGAATGTTGTCTCCAATTCAAACCCCGTTGTTGTGATGGATAATCGACATCCTGCTGGTCACCATCTGTTGGTTGGTGGAACACTGTACGATGCCCTGCATCATGCTCTAAGCCATTGTTAATCTCATCGGCAAGTTGAATCAAGTTTTCATGTCTGGGCTTTGTTGCACCGCTTGCTTCGGCCTTAGCATACGAGTCATTGCTGTGGGAAGTGTTGCCACTGACGTTTTTGTCTGAAACTCTTGGTCAGCTCAAAAATTCGGAGAAAATAAGGTCACTCGAGCAAAATGACACAAATTCTAAATTTTCACCATTAATGATCCAATATGAGAAGCGTGTCTAACTCAAAACAAGTATACCACAAGCTAACTTATAGCTGACCTTTAAGGGCGTCACCAGAAACCTCCGCTTCTTGTAATGTGTTTTTTAAAGTATCGAAGGCATGATGATTCGTATCCAAAATGTCATGGGTGACATCATCAAACTCCCCCTTGAAAGCGTGCATCGCCTTGTTCGCGTCTTCATGCAGCGAATGGGCCATATCTGCACCCATACCGCGAATTTTTTGTGATGTATTCGAGATATCTTGAGCCATTCCGGATAGCATATTTGAGGCAGTATCTTTGGCAGTTTCTACTGCTTGATGTCCCATATCTTCTGCCTGTCCCACCGTTTCTTTCAGCTTGTTACCAAACAGGTGTAACGTGTCCCCAAGCGCTTCTCCGGTTACTTTGGCATCATCTACAGCTTTATTTGTCGCATCCATTACTTTTTCCGCACCTATAATACTGAATGAAAAAATTTCCAATATACTCTCTTTCTTTTTCTTATGCTATTTAAAATAGAAGAGATGAACTGCTGAACAATATCGTCCTTCAGTAACAAATGAATACAAAAATTAAATGAAAAAGATAAATCACGCATGTTTAATATGGAATAAATCTACCTACAACTATTATGAAAACAAAGAACTCTAGAAATTTCTTATATCCAAAAGAAATTTCTTACAGCCAATTAAAGGCAAGACATTTTATCAATTTTCAGGAGAATGGCTCAACCCTTAGAGTCTGATGACGAGAAACTAATTTTAAAAGAAAACTAGGAATTGACTTTTCTTTTGTAAGGAGAACAAGTAGAATAAGAAGGAGAACTATGACTTTTATTTTTAAATAAAGATCGTAGTCCTCTTCCTGTATTTATTTTTCGGAGGAAAAAATTAGCTAACCCAACTCGAATGGGAAAAGAAAAAGAAATATGAAAATTTTAATCAAAATCGACGTCCGAAATGACAATAATAGCAGTCTGCGGTGGGTCAATTTTAGTTCCCCTCTGCCAAATCATTGATCTTTGACGCATTCTGTATGTTTAAATACATGTGATTTCCGTAGCCTCGAAATGACCATTTTTCCCACTCCCTATCTTATCGCAATTTATGATACAGTAGGAAGGCATTCAAAAATAAATAAAAAATATTTTTATGCGTATATTTCTATTCCACATGGGCCTCACATTACTGAAATTAATTCAAAGCTCTGAAATTACTCTTCAGATACAGAAAAGGAAGGAAACTTTTTCCGCCCACCTTTTTTATTTGCATTAGGCACTTCTTATATGTTGAAAGTTTTGCAACTCTAGTCCACAAAAAAAACTTCGCGAAATGAGTAACATAGATTTTTGCAAAATATGGATTTTGCAGCAACACTCACCTGATTTGGCTAAATCGCCCACTTTTTCAACGGCAGACTCTGCAAACTCTGCAGCTCTCGGTAAAATCCCGCTGTAGAGTTCCTCTGACCCAAATTTGTGATCCATTATGTTTTCCTTAAACAGCATTATTAATCGCATGTAGCTTCCAGAATGACATCCCACGCGCAAACTGCCAACTTAAAAATCAAGTCTGATAACTTTAGATTTATAAACGAATTGTGTCACACGTAATTTGCAGTTATATACTCTTAAATTATTATTAACTACCCTTAGCAATATTTGTCAAAAAGTGTAGAATGACGGTAAAGGCTAAGTTTCTTTATTATTTGCTATTCTTCTTGATAGACTATCTTTGTTTTTTGTTATACGTTTTATACGTATTGCTCATACATATAACCGAGCTCATAAAGAAGTACTACTTATGTTGCGCACAATCAATGACTAACAGCTTATGCTTCCAGTCTCTCTTTATATTCTTTCCATAATAAAATGCACTTATTCAGTCATGTTATCATATAAAGTGCACAACCAGACATACAAAAACAATATCAATGGCCAGTAGACATTACATATACAGAGTTAAGTGAAAAACGATAAAACGATGATAGTATGATAAAATGATGGTTTACATATGGGAAGACAACACTAAGAGAGAAAATAGATAATAAGTCAGTCATTAAGGAATCTAGAAAAAAAGGAACTAACTAAAAAGAATACCACCAAATTGCCGCAATTGATACACAATATAACGATGATTTCGTAATATTATCAACACATCAGTTAATTTCATTAAGGAATAATTTTGCTAGAAAAAATGCAAGACAAGGAGAGATGAAATGAGCGAGTAATTCCAGAACAACAGCAAAAGTTAGACTGGTTTCCATCTGCAGTAAGGACCCGTCATCATTCGTCTATATTTTCCTCTGCATCCTTCCCACTCTAAACACCATTATATTTTGATATACACATGTCAGCAAAACATTATGTCGGAGGATTGTAGAGAAACAACGACATGAGGAGTGGCTGCAAGCATTCCTTGTCCTGCTGCAACCGCATTAAACACTACTTTAGTTCAGAAAACAAACGGCCACATGGGTGCAGAATTGCAATGAAAGAAGGCATTTTCTATTATAGCGGGCGGATGAAAATAAGAGTGCTAGTCTCGAACACTCCACAATACCATCAGAGTAGCTTAGATATCCTCAAAATAATCATCCCTCAATAAACAAACAACCCTTTCGAATCGCATGCACTCAATATAAACTCAAAACTATGGCGATTACCTAACATCTGGCGGAAACAGTTTTTTTATCTTATAATACCTTTTGCATAACTCTATTTGGAATCTCATCAGAATAAGTACTCATCAGAATCTCTTTATATTTTTCATAGATTCGAGTACGACGTACAGACATCGCGAGGAGGGAGGATAAAAAAAGGGAAGGAGAACATCAGCGTATTCAGAGTTTTGTCCTCACTTTATTCAAGAAAGAGTACAACCCAAAGACGATGTAAAAGTTTGATAACCAAAAGAAACTAAATTGAAAAAATTAGAATTCAAAAATGACTAGCTTCCTTTACGTTACAAATGCTAAAAATAATAGGTTATTTCAAGCAGTAAATAAACAACTCACAACAGGATATTTCCGATCTGTTCTTCTCTTCTCATCATCACTGTCATTATGCATTTGCAACATTCTGAATGACAATGGCTCAGTGACTAATTCAGCACTGAAAGTTGTTGAAAAAAATGATGGTAGATTCCTAGGAAAATATGTAACTGTTCAAATCCAAACAAATAATAGATATTTCTACAATAATTTGGACTAACAAAACTGAAATACTGCAGAAAACCAGCAATATTTACAAAAAAGGACGAATGGTCCAGCATACGTCTCGGATAATTGTGACTAGTGCAAGTCATATCTTAGAAATATTGAAATATTATAACTGCAATGTAAACATCTTCGCTGATTATTCGCGCAAAAAAGAAAATCAAAAACTGCAAACAACATGGAGATAATGCGAAATTATCATTTACTTATCTCAGGTATCAAAGCAATTTAATTGCTATGAGGAACTCCAAACTGTATCTCTATTTTAATATTTCAAAACTGTTTACACTATTCATTCTTTTTTTTTTTGCAGAATAAAAGAAAATCAAAAACAATCACTGAAGACGTAATGTTTTTTAATACTTTTTTAAAATATTACTTAAAACTATCAGTTATTATATTTTTTTTGCCTTCAAGCTCAATATCTGTTAACTCCATTGTTGGAAATTATAACCTTTGTTGCAGATCGCTGTGTTCCACCTTCACGAACTCATTGCTGCTTCCGTCAGAGGAACCTGAAGGACTAGCAGTAATTACATCATATGCATCTTCGCCACTAACTGTTTGCGTTATCAACTGTTTGGTCGTAATCGGCGCCACTGTTGATGCAGCTGTAGTATCTGATAGACCACTGACAACACGTTCAAAATCTGGCTCCATTTCCTGCAAAGTTTTCAATGTTAATATTAATAGGACAAGACAGCGTATTCTGTACATCTTTTTCAATTATCCATTTGAATAGGATAGCTATTTACTACCTTCTTTCCTATTTAGAAATTAACTATACATTGTTTTGATTTGTAACAGCAATTGCCGTAAAGGAAGAATGGCAAAGCTTAACTAGTGTTTTGCCTCACTGAACACATGCAATATGCTTGATATAACATATCATCGTACTAAAAAGCTTTAGTACGTTATATTTTCTATATCCTCGCTAAGATTCATTAAAGAAGTATAATTTGCATGAACTAATTAAAGCAGATTATTGAAATCTCTCGTTAAAAGAACTTTACATTAGCCATTTTCTTTTCAAACACTGTATTTTTTCATTTTTTCAATATCAAATTTGTTTATCTGACTTTTAGAGCAAATCAGTGCAACTGAAACAGTAACAACATTTGAAACGAATAGAAATTTTCTGAAATTAACTTCTACGTTCATAAGAGATGTCGATCCTGTGGATGATCGATACTTCGGATGAAACTTGGAATTAGGATTCATTCGAAACGATTATATTCGCACGTTTTGAAATGAAGACTCGTTAGCTTGCTTATTGTTCAGCAAAACCTGAAATAAATGATGACTTATCAATTTTTCAAAGTGGTTAACAGGAACTTTAACGAATTTTACAAGCAAATAATATTTATGTCGCCAACAATTTTTAACTAAAAATTAATTTTAAAACGTCTAGATAATTTATAGATGCTTACGTCATGTCACTAAAAATGTCCATTTTGTCTGCTATTTCCCTGATGTAGCTTGAACGCATTTATTTACTGCATATGAAAACTGTTGCCTACAAAATACAGCCTAAATGCATAACCGAACTTTTTGAGAAATGTAAAGCCATATTCGATATTAAACTGAGCTAATGCAATTGATAACAGAAGCTAATTCAGCTACTCTCCACCATACTTACCCATACGTCCACGTACGCCTAATCAAGCTACACGTATTCCTACAAGACAATCAAAATTTCGCTAAATTCGAAATGGAAAAAAAGAATTCGATATTTACTGCAACATCAATCTCTCTTCTCATCCTTCACTGTTTCCTACAACTGCTTCCATCTTCTATTCCTCCTATTCTGCAATACTCTCTATTCTCTGCGCTGTCCTTAAAAAAGATCGTAGTACTGATGTTAAAATAATTTTAATCTTACTTAAATAATTTTAATAGGTTTCTCATATAAAATTATCAGATATTGCTTCACATTTTATAGCCAAAATATGGCCATAAAATAAATATCGAATCTTTAATATCAGTTCGAAATTATCTCAAATAGTATCATTTGATTATTCATGAGATATTTAATTTAACTAATAATAATAATATTAATAATAATAATTAATTATAGTAATTAATAATATTACTACTATTATAACTAATAATAATAAATGTTTTATGAATAAAACAGGAACTGTAGAATGTATTTATCTTTCACCTCTTTTTATCATCGTTCCTTTTCAATTATTGAATGATATGCAGTAATTGTGTAAAGTAATTAAATAATAAAAATTTCATAGAAGTGAGCCTATTGTCCATAAGAAATAATAGCGATGATATGGAGGAGAAGAAAATTTCCAGCTTCCTCATCAAAAATAACTCCCCTCTTATTCGATGATACGTCCTATTTATTAAAAAGCAAATCATCTAATTTTTTCTTGTCTTCAATTTTCCACCTCGCGCAGTTGTCCTCATTTCAAGAAGATCATAACATCTAGTGGTGTATATTTCCTATTGATTATATATAAAATATTTTCTCACTCTTGTATATTTTCATCATCTATAAAAGGTATATGCTGCCAACCTACTTCATCTTAATTAGCACTCTTATCGGATATATTTCCAGTGAGTTAATTTTCAAATATTTCAAATTTTATTGATTTGATTTTATGTTTGAAAAAAAATGCAACAAAAATCTATTTGACAACAAATGATATTTAATTAATTAAGCATATTCACATTTTACTTCCAATTTTGTCAATGGTTAATTGAAAAAGTGATTGAATTCCAGTGGCCTAGCAAGAAGTTACTGTTTTTTTAGAAGGCAGAATTTATGGCCTTTAACTTATAAGTTTGTTGACTTAGGAATTCTAGACCAATGTTTAAAGTGAAATTGACTGCACGACTACAATTTAGTTCATATTTTTTATGCGCTTATTCTATCACGCTTAATAATAGTTATCTTCAGGTGCTGAGATTGATGCAGGACCACAGTTCAGTCCTCTAACACCATATCAAACTGCGGATTCATTACCGCCACCGGTTTATGGCTTACTGGAAGGTCGATCCGATATTGATGGAACTCTTATAAATCCTAAATCAATTTACAATTGGAAAAATTATCACAGTAGCAAACAAAGGAATGATGAAATTTCAGAATTATCTTATAAAAAGCGGTTATCACCTGCATCATCAAAGAAGAAGCAAAAGAAAAACTGGAAAATACCACCTGGTGCTAAGCTTGTTGGTTACAATATGCAACTGGTAGCAGGTTATGTACCAACAACATACTTCAACAATCGTAATCAGAAGAATGATGAAAGAAGATTGGAATCACGATCTTCTCCAACATCTTCGGATATTTATTCAAAATATCGTCCTGGTTACAATATGAATATGACCAAGAATTACGATACTGATGAAAAAAGTAATGAAATGGATACAGTGACTATTGAAGTAGATGTGCTGAAGACTGATGGTGATGACGAGTTATTAAAGGATGAATCAATCCTGCACACAAACTTTACTCGCAGGGAAAGTAGCTTTCTCGAAAAGCAGGAAGAGTCCACCAGCACTGATGCTACTACTAACATTACCATTGGGTTAGTCAATCTCAATGGCTTCCTATGGCCAATTGCGGAAACCAAACTGAAAGCCGAGAAACAGAAGGAAGAAAGCATTTCTGCAAGTCAATCAGATTCTGATGCTACTACTTTTGTGGGTCCCATTGAGCATGATCTTTCAGTCTTGCAGAAAAACATGTACAATACCGCAACAGTAAAATTAGATTCCGATGATACAATGGATCGAATAGATGATGATCCGATTCCGGTATTTCAGTCAACCGCAGAGACCGATGATGCTGGAAGCACATCATTAGAGAGCGACAATCTAAGTGAACCTCAACTTACAATCTTACAAAACATAAACTCGATGAAAAAATATAATGACGAAATGATGAGAAATTCAACCTCAATCCCAAAAATGCCTCAATCGCGAAAAGGAATAGAAAAAGCAGAACAAGAAATTCCTTTTTTCCGGCAACTTCAAATGAATTATACTGATAGTCAGGCTGAATCAGAAACAGAGATATCTCGGACAAGATTATTACCAGTAACAACACTAAAATCCGGTGATACAATTATCCAGATTTCAGAATCCAATGAACGTGAAAGAGCAATGGGGGATATTAAACTATCAGATATTCACGTTACCACTCCCTCAAGTTCACAGAATTCAATGTCAGTAACAATGTCCAATGCTGTTACTGTGGCGCGAACAATAATGATGAACGTCGAATCTTCTGAATTTGATAATGAAGATGAAAACAGCGATAAAGTAGAACAAAATGATGATAATACAGATTTTGAAAATCCGGAAGAATTTTCAAAAATACAACTTGCCGGTGAGGAAGGACATGGGATGAGCGAGAAACTGAATTCTGAGCAAGTTTCTAGAAACGTAACTGGTAATGATGAACATGAGGAGCTGTCTCAAGACGAAAACAGTAAGAATGATAACAATGAACGATGGCCACAAGACAAATCAACTGAAGTGAAAAATAATAGTGAAGAAGCAAATAGCAAAAATAAGGAAGGAGACTTCAGAGATGATTATGATACGAGTGATAATGGCGATGATAATAATAATAATGATCATGGTAATGATAATGACGATGTTAGTAGTGATAATAATGATGATGATGATGATGATGGTAATAATAATAATAATGATGATAGTTCGAGAATGATTAAAGACAGTGAAGATGAAATGACTCAGTCACAGGAGAATGACGAAGAAAAACAAGGAAGAATTAGTGCACCCATTTTCTCTCCGGAGCAAATTCCAACTTTCGAGGAGTGGTTATTCAGCTTGCCGATACAACATGCTTTCCCATTCAATGCCAGAAATCAACCGTTAGCTAATCCTATTCACTCATCCTTTTCCAGATCAGTTAATCAGAAAAATAGAAAAGGAAAGAATAAACAAGAAAGGCAACGTCTACATTCTGGGAAAAAACAAAAAGCTCCAATATATGATTATGATAGTTCTGAGGATGACGATAAAGAACAATTTCAAGAACAACGATTTACGTTATCAAGAAATGTACCATATGAATAGATTGTTATAATCGAGAGAATTTAATTTTAAGCTTGTTTGCAGAAAATTCCTGTAAAAAAAATGCTTCACTTAAAATGACTAATTAAGATTTTATTGTTGAATAATTAAGATGTTATTGTTGAATATTTGTAATTGGCTATGAAAACATTTTAAACATACATCACTGTAAAAATTTTGAGAACAGTGATTTTTATATATCACTTCTAATTTACATATCATAATGTATGTTTAAAGTTCTATGCGTTTTTGAAGCCATTATTTGCTTCCAAATTCTACCGATTTCTATTATTCATTCATAAATAATTGTTGAATAATCATAGTTGACTATAAAAAACATTTTGAAAAATATTCCAAAATTACAAATTAAAAGTAATAATCATCAAAAAGAGTTTGAACTGTAGAAAGGTAGAAATTAACGACGTAGAAATTTAAACAAAATATATAAATGGAATCGAATGAGTACTGAACACATTCATTTATAATTTGACCTCTAAGAATTAAATAATAAACATAACTGATACAACAAAAAATCATGAATTTTCAAACAGTTAAAAATCATTTCAAAAATAATTCTAATTTCAATTTCAAAATTATTATAAAGGAAAGGAATTTTAGATTATGAGCAAAATTAGGATGAAAATTTCGTCAAAATTCTTTTCACTTCTTTTTCCTTATCGTCAATTAGTGTATTATATGTAAAATAATTTTTATTGAAACTGCAAATATCTTCCTTTTCTTTTCCTTTATTAATTACATTAAATATCTCTCTGAACTGCAATTTAGTCTTATCTAAATATGATGTCAGTGTTAATGTTAAGTTTACTAAATTAATTATCGGCTACAAAATTTATAATTATCTTAAATAGGTAGGAAAAGGTATGGAAATTATGATCCATAACAAACATGAAATTATATCATCAAAATATTTCCATACTTTTTAAAAACTTTCAGTAAATTTTTTCCTAAAAAAAAATTGAATGAATTATACAATAAATGGAAAAAACAATATAAGAATGATAATGGTATTAAAAGCGATAGAGTGAAGTTTTGTGGTACCACCATTACAAAGATATCCGTTGCAAGCGTATAGAAAACCTTTCGTATGTTCCACTTTGGTATCCATTAATTGAATCTGAAAATTTTAAACTGTTGTAATTACTCGAAAATGATATTTCAATAAGTGAAGAAGAATTGATATTATTAATTATTTTTACGCTTGCATCTATCATTTCAAACAATTCGTTGGAAATTAGCTAATGAAATGAAATATTGTGACAATTTATTGTGATTATTTATTTATTATTTTATTTTGCTATTTTATTAATTAGTTTATTCATTTATTTATTTATTTATTCACAATTTATTTATTGTGACAATTTAGCAGTCTTTCACAGTTAAAATATTTTTTCCGAAAGCCAACTTCGTGAAAAAACCAAATAAAATAATTAAAATAGCTGATAATGTAATTTCGGATTGAAAAACCATACTATCACGCATTAGACAACTTCATCAACTTCTACTTCAGAAAACTTTTTAGATCTTTTTTTCTAATTCAGAATCACAATTTTCGAATTCTTTTACTGTAGTTCACAGAAAATTGTGGGACAGTTGGACATTCAGAATCAAACATAATAGGATGTGGTCAATCTTCTACTTTGCTTTTCCTTTTATATATTCAACATCCTTTCAGAAATATTTTCAAAAACATAGTTCAAAGTTTGACCAAAAAAAAATTATATGTAAGGTTAAATATTGTCTCTGATATTAATTAAATATTTGAATAGTAAGATTTATGGCAATAGGAGAAAATGTTATTGTATTTTGGAAGAGAGCTTTTCCAAATTTAATATATGGAATAATTCGGTGTTTTCCGATTTATAATGATTGAAAAAATATATTTTAAATTGAAGCAATCGACTTAAAGCCATCATAATAGCATATAAAATATACTGTTACTTTTTTTCCTTTTACTAATGGGTACTTTTCCAATGCTTATGGCCAACCTTAGTATTGCCTTCCTGAATTATTTTCCTGAATATACTTCTATCTATATCCATCCACATGGCTCGACTCCAGCAATCACGAACTATTGCTGGACGACGCTCTGAAATATTCCCATGTAAGACAATACTAAACTTTTCCGGAAATTGCAATTTTCGATTTGTAAAATTTTTATAAAATTACTTTGACCTTACTTGATCTTCTTTGATTGAAATGAAATTACTTTGGACCTTACTTGACCCTCTTTCATTAAATGAGTTAAATTGAATTTTAAATTTAGAATAAGTGATATCTGCCAGTTACTTATGAATTCAAAAATCAAAGTCTGCTTTTCCATCCACAGATTTATGCACATATGCAGAAGTTATCATAGAGAAGTCGCGGGTGGGTTCCAGATTTTAGATGTGAATCATTTGGAAAATATGTTGGCAGAATGGTTTAATAGCATTCAACTTTCAACTTCAATTATCAGATGCTTGATAAAAATATATTTGGTAATATGCTTGGTACTGGGTGCTTAAATAAGTAAATTCAGTACCGCAAATTTGACGACCAAAGGGTGGACTGAGAATAACAAGTTTGACACATACACTTCGGTGACACGATACCACCGGAAGTGACTTCTTAACTCTGTCACACGATTCATTTGCAAAATAAGGTAATTGTCGCAGATAGTGTATGTGATTGGAATCATCTTGCGGCTTAAAAAGTTCTCAATAAGAAGGTCAAAGTTTATGAATTTTAAAACATACCCTTAAACTTTAGTTTTAAATTTAAACTTTATGTATGCAAAAGTTATTATTTCATTTCGTTGAATTCTTTAAAGAATTTAAGAAACATTTGGTTGCATTAATTTTTGCTTAAAAAAATAAAAGAATAGGATGAAACGATAATTCTAACCCAACGTTTAAGAATATTTTCCGATGAGCAACTGTAACACTTCCCTGGAAGGAGTGACGGTAGCTCTCCAACAATTTTACCGCACTCCAACAATTGAAGAAGTAGTACTGTAAAATGGAGGTGCATTCAGTTTAAAAGAAGGTTTGCAATCGATTCCAAAACCAAAACCAAAGAATAATTATTTTACAATTATCGACTTATTACTTCATTGCTATAAGTGTACAATGTTCCCAGTTGATTAAATGTCCAAGTTTTCTCTAGCCTAGGCTTTGTCGAATGGCTGAAATAGATGAGCACACTAATATCCAAAAATATCTGAATACATCAAACAATTTTGAATGATATGGGGAATTCGAGCAAGGAATCATTGTGGATGAGAAATGGGATGGAAAAAAAAGTAATTATTTTTCTGATTGCTAAATATTTCTAATGCCTTAATCGATTGCCAGCCTATTTTTATCCTTTTAGAGGTGCAAAATTGATTAAATTAAAACATGAAAGAGAAAAGGATATTTAACAAAATAAATTGAATGAAAAGAGACATTGAAAAAAAAAACATAAAGGGACCTTTTGGAATAAAGAAGCGAACAAAGTGAAATAAAAGGTGTAAAGATTTCAGTGTTGAAATTCAACGAAGTAGAAGCGAAATAAGAATGAGTGAATAGAATGGCGAAATAAGATGGATAACATGCATACATCTACCTCATTCCTACTTATCCTTCTATTTATATGACATCTATTTTTCGTTGAGAAAATTATCAATCCATATATATATATATACAGACACACACACATATATATACCTATGTACATATCGATAAACTTCGGCAAATAATATTCTTATTTGAAGTAATGACCACCGATACACAGTATGGACAAATTATATTATAAGAAGTGATAGCTTATATTTAAATTCTGTCCTTTGCAAAATGGATGAAAGAAAGAAACCGAAAAAAATAATAAAAGCTGTCGTTTAATATCATCAAAGGCTGGCACTAAAAAAAATACTACTATAATAATAATAATAATAATAATAATCATTTTATGATATTAACAATTTTATTTTATAATAATGCTATTCAATTATAATATTTACGTAAGAGATTAGAAATGATTAAAATTGCATAAAAGAAATTTTAAATTATTATTAAAATTGTTTAACTATCTAAATAACATGCAAATATTTTTTGTTTGTATTAAAAGAATTGACAAAGTTAGATATGTATCATTTTATAATTGATAGAATATTCGTATTGTCGTCGTATATTTTCCTCAGCAACTATTTTGCGAGGAATTTAAAAATCGAGAGAGAACATTGTCGTGATCAATTTTAAATGGGAGATTTGGGTTTGGTACCAAAAGTTCGCATTGGTACTGTAATTGCAGAGCAATGGACCATTAAGAAGAAATTGGGTGAAGGTAGTTGTGGAACCGTTTTCCTCTTGGCCAATATTTCAAATCCGAAGGTATTAGTTAGCCTAAATATCAGTTAGATTTCGTAGTCCTGAGAAAGAAGAAAGAATTGTTCAACATTTCTAAGACTATTCAAAAATTTATTTCAAGTAATCTCTTATAAAAAATAAATAAGGAAAAAAATCTTAGCCTAATTAAAACTTAAATATTCAGGCTCATGCAGCGATGAAAGTAGAACCATTAATGTTGAATGGTAATGATGAAATATTGAAAATGGAAGTGTTCGTGTTGAAAAAAATGCAAAAATCAAAACATGCTTGTCGATTATTTTCTGCAGGCCGCACAAACACTTTTAATTATATGATAATGTCGCTTCTTGGAAAGTAAGCATATCAATTAATTGCATCACATATATATATATACATGCTAGCATATCAATGTTAGCATATCAATAACTAATTATCACATCTATACTAGCATATCAATTATTAATTAGCATATTGCAATTACAAATTACTAACTATAATGTCACTTCTTGGAATGTAAAACATATCAATTATTAATTACAAACCTGACAATGATTTTTTTCTCTATCAAAGAATTATTTGAAACATTATAGGAATTTAAGTGATTTACGATTTATGATGCCTTCGAAACGTTTTACGACATCCACAAGCCTAAGATTAGGCAAACAGGGATTACAAGTATGCTTTTTAATTTATTTTTGATTAAAGCATTACTATATCAAATATTTTATCAGTAAAGATAGAAGGGAATCAATTTGACCTACCAGTAATTTTCTATTAAGTTTTTGAGAAGTGCTCCTGCATCCATACTTATTTTTTTCCTATTCTAAAAAATTAATAATGGTAATAATAATAATAACAATAATGATTGTAATAATGGTAATAATAATAATGGTAATAATAGTACTCATTAGTATAATAATAATTTTCCCGGTTTTTAATGCTCAGATGTTAATCATTTCCGGATTTTATCATAGAAGTTAAACAGAAATTTCCTTGTATTTATTCATGCCTTCTGCTCCGTATTGCTCCATAATGATGTCCAAGGTAATAAACGTATTTCAAACTTTGATAATTTATCAACAAATTTTGGGCTCTAAAAGATTTGCACGGTGCTGGATTTATACATCGTGATGTAAAACCGCTCAATTTTTCCCTCGGATCAACACCATCTACAAAACGAATTTTATTTCTATTTGATTTTGGTTTATCACGACAAATTTTCCTACCAGTACAAGGAACAAATGAAATGAAACTTCGAGAACCAAGAAAAAAAGTTCATATGTTTTCTTTTCAAAACCAAAAAAGAATTCATTAAATTGAAAAAATCTCTTCCACATTTTACCAATCATTTCTTAACAAAAATAATTAGTTAACTTTGACCTTTCTGACCTTCTGTAGCAATGCTACAATTTTCAATTAGTTCAGTTTAAATTGTTCGGTTTAAAAATTTCAATAGTTTTTTTGATTTTTCTAAAATTTTAGTTTCTTAATCAAAAGTTTCAGTAGTTCAGTTCGATAGTTTAATTTAAAAATAATTTGAAATTTATGATACTAATTGAAACACAGTAATACGCATAGCCTTTTTCGTTCTTCCATATCAATCAGAAGAATTTTTTTAGGTAACATTTAGAGGTACCGTTCGTTATTGTTCCCTTAACGTACATCAACACAAAGAACAAGGTCGACATGATGATCTGATATCGTTGTTATATACAATCGTTGAGCTTATCACCGGTGAATTACCATGGCGAGGATTGAATCGACGTGAATCCGCCTCTGTTAAAGCAAGCGTACCAGATAAAAAACTTTTTAATGTAAATTTTTGTAAATATTCAAAGCTTAGATTAAATCATACTCTCATAAATATATACGTATAATAATGTATGTCGTTTGCTCCGCCACGCTTCGATGTTACCAGTTAATGACAATAATTAAATTTTCAAAAGTATACAATTTATATTTGTTGTAACTTTGCAAGAATCATTCCAAACTTTACTTTCTGCTTTCAGTAAAAAAAATAGAAAAGATTTTTTTGGGCAACCTTTCAGGTTTTAGGCAATCTTTCAGGTTGCCCAAAAAGTAAGAATTCCGAATTCCAAATTCCGAACGGTTTGTTAGTTATATTTTGAATCTCTAACAATCGCTTCATGTTCATTTCTTTTTTAAGATTTATAAGAAATAAACTCTTTATAGCAATGTCCTGGAAATTTCCTAACAATTTATACATATCTGAAGGGACTTGAATATAACGATTTGCCAAATTATGAATTTATCGATAAAAAATTTGATATTATTTTATCAAACCAAAAGTATGAATTTGTAAATAAATTTTAATGGATACGGTGTAATTTCTTAATCATTTACTTTCTTTTATTTAATTCGCTTAAAAAAGTAATTTCTTAGTTTCTAATTGTTTTATTATTTAATATTTAATTATTTAATTTTTTAATTTCTGATTCTTTTATTTAATTCGCTAAAAAAAGTAACAGAAATTTCAATCTATGAAGTGAATTATATAGCGTGATACAGACAGAAATGATTAGAAATTAAAATTACAAATTTGAAATCGGAAGGAATGAGTTTTGAATTTTAAACTCTCTCGTTTTTTGTAGCATTAAAGATGAATCACCATATGATTGGGAAAGAGGTGGACGCTATTTTGATGATGTAGCTGGTAAAGTGATGCCTAAAAGACATCGAAATCCTGATGAACAAGTGGAAAAAGACTCGGTGTGTCATTTTTCAGGAAAAACTTCTAATTGTCATAAGAGAAACAACTCTTAATATTTGCTTGAATAATAACGATTCTGAATCTTTTATTCTATATCTTTGAAATAGGCCTTAAAAATATATCGAAAATGGGCACACAAAACAATGACTGAATTTATTCCTTTGATTCGAGAGGAATGTTAACATTCAAAATGTTGAATTTGCAGTCATCAACAGTAAAAGAAGAAGTACCATCAACAGAGGAAGGACCATCAACTGGTGGAGATGATTCAGATATGACAGGAGTGGATAATGAAAATACTCTCGAAGATTTGGAAGAAATTAAATAAAATCATTTTCCGCAACAACGACGAAAAAGAAATGTTATATGCAATATACTTTTAATTTCTCAAAAAAGAAAATCTTTTTCTTTGATTAATTTCGATTATTTTGCTGTCAGAAAAATTCATTGTTAATATCACCACCATCTATGTGTATATCTACAAATCTTGAAGTATTTTTAAAATCTAATATCAGTAGAAAATATCACTTCTACTTTATTTAGGTGATAGATTCATTAGTCTTTTTGTCGAAGTCATTCGATATATTCACTGTAAATTACCTTAAATTAAATAATGATTTATTTTCTTTCTTTTATTTTGTCCTTATTAACACATTTGATATCTTACTAACATTGATAGTGACAAGGAGTTGATCATATAGGACCGATTTCTTCCACTGAAAGGTATAATCTTTAACATTTGTGACAGGAAAGGTTAAACATTTACTATTTCACCATCTGATCGCTAGGAATGTGTAGTGTAAGAGGAACGTGATGGATTGTAGAAATTATACAACACAACATACTGTCATAATTTTGATGATCAAAAAAAAAACTTTTTTTGAAACATTATTTTAACGGCAATTTCTATATTAAGTCATCTTTAGTTTTGCTTTTGTAACAGAATGGTAGTGACAAGATAATACTATAAACACTTAAAAATAGAATCCCAATGAATTAGTGAATTAGAAACATTTATAAGATGAATCCGAATAAACAGCTTATGATTCCCAGTTAGAAGCATCGTATATTGGATATGATTAAGATCATTTCTACAAATGATTTCCGTGGTAAAATTATCTAAGAGGCCACAAAGCCTCATTAATAGACTACGTTTTGATACTTTCCCATGACCTAAAACTACATACATAATTTATTACATCAGTGTTTTCTTGTGCGCATATAACTAACTATTGTTTTCCAATCTAATTTAGTGCCAAGAATTCTTAGCATTCATAATGTTGAATAATTTGTGGCCCAGTGATAATACCGTCATGGCATGGTAATAATATTGCATGAATCCTTCGCGAATAAAATGGAAAGAGCGAATTCAGAAATGCACAGACCAAACAAGGTCACCAGCACAACTTTCTCCTTGACCTCGGCCTCCTTCCAAATCTTACCCTCTTTTCAACAGTATACGTTGCTCGTTGACCTTTGTTCCACTTGCAGTTCAGCAAGAAATTATCTCCCAAATTATCAGGATCGTTTAACGTCAACTGCGTTTAATGTCAACTGCCAAGAAAAGACTACTTTTCTGCTTTCCTAAACCTATTGTGCCGTTTAATACTTCCTAGTGGAAATGTTCAAAAATTGAATGTGAAACGTGAACGAAAAATTAAGTGTTCGCAATTCATGTTTTAGCTGTTGATAAAGAGAAAAAAATCTAAGTCCATTAAGGGATAGTTGTCACATTATTTTTTCACTACATTTCAAAGATGAAACGCTAAGTTACGTAGAGGTCACAGTATATATTACTCCATAACTCACTTTAACCCTACCAAGATGGCTTTTTTGTTTGCAAAAACGACATGGCTGACCCCTCAATAAAGAGAGAGGATGATGGAAGGTGCCAAGGTCACATATACAGTAGTGATCAATATAAGCAGTTTAAGTCGTGTATGACGGATAGATAGTAGCAAATGGTATGTCTCTTTGATGGCCCGTTGTTTTAGATAAGAGTATCTGTAGAGAAGAAATGTCGTACACTCTAACAAAAGTCACTCATGTTGTACGATGATTCGTCACCTTGTTATCTATCCCTCGCTTTCGTTGCAATGGGACGATGAGTCACCATTAGTAGAGGTCAACTGTGCCTTCATCCATCACCTAAATGGTCCCTTGCAAGGAGAATATATGAATGTATATACGTCAGTCAGCCATCCGACAACATACACATAAGATCGATCGAACAACAGCAGCTGAATCTCGCGTACGTGTGGGTGGGTGTTGCGAATGTCTCTGTCTGTATCACCGACACATACATTAGTTAAGCATGTCACCGACAATACAATGCAGGGGAATGCATTGATATTGTTGAGAGGACATGAGAACCGAATTTATGATGCACCAATAAACATCAGACAGAAAAGCAGACAGACAGACACATACATATGTACGCACGCCCACTCAAACCGCCTCAGTTTGCAGCAGCGGCAACAGTGGAGACGCAGTGCGCTGCCTCAATGGGCACGCATATTGTTTACATCTCTTGCATATGGTCCCTCAGTTGCGTGTATATATGTATGTATGTGTGTGAGTGTGTATGTGTGTTTTATGTGTGACGATGACTGTATTGGTGAATGACATACTAGAGTACTTTAATGATCCACTATTGATTATACATTGGGATATATCGGGGTACAATAGTTCTTTCACTGTTCCATTTTTCAATTCTTTACTGATAGAAAATGTTGCGGTTAGTATTATAATCGTATTTGACATTTATACGTGAGAGATTAATGAGTCCAATCCGTCCATTTTGTCAATTTCTCGCAACATCCCGTGGTCTATTTTCGTTACTTTTTCGAATTCATAAGATTTATTGGGAAGAGAATTACGAAAAAAACATTTAGAGTATTTTCGAATGTATTCTCTTTAAAATTATTTCTTGTCACATAGATATGAGGTCCGGGTTGACTCTTATTGTCATTTCTTCGTTTGAAATTTAATTTATACTCAAATTTTATTTCTATATATTAGTTACAGCTCGGTGTATTCTCTTGCTGTGTCGTTTAATGTTGATGTTTTACATCAAGTTAATGAAAATATAAGTGTATATGAATGATAGTTATCCAATTTACATCTATTATCAGTAAAGTTAAAATTGATGTTGTATTGTCAGTTAGACGTTGTGTATTTCATTGTCTCGTATACGTGTACGAATACGTTTTACACTTCCCTTCCCCGATGTTCTAACTATAGCTATGTATCAGCAACTTATCAGCTGATGCATGGCTACATAACCTTTTTTCAAATTTGAAGTGACCCATATATTATAGATATAGAAATATTGGAATTATAAAATATGTGAGAAAATGAAGATAGTAAAAGCGTGGGTTGATTTCTCAAAAGAATTTTAAATCATTTACAAAAAAATATTCTATCGGTTAATTGATCCTGTTGTCCCATGTTTATAGAGTCTAGTTCAGTTAAGTGTCACATTCTATAGCCTAAATGACATTTGCAAGCTTTGTATGATAAGAAAAGTTATTTACAAGAGATAAGTGGTATATCTACTTGTATGATAGATCCGGCATTAAGGAAAGAGGTCCTAATATGCAGGATGTACGGCAGAAGAATCTCGAATGCAGGGAGAAGTCCTGTAATAGAGGGGAATATTGAGAAATAACAAATAAAAATGGGCGAAAGCAAAAACTATGAAATATAGTGAGAATAATGTCATTAAAATGACGGGCAGAGATGTGCTTTTGTGCTTTCCATGGAGTGGGCGAAAGGTTAGCGCATTTCTGGTTGAGGTTTTCAGCCCCGTTGCGATCACTTTCATCCCACTTCATTTTAACAAAGTCGACCTCCCTTTCTGTGTTTGTCAATGACATTGATTATTTGAGTTGACCCCTCCACTCGTTTTTGTGTCATTCGTTGTTATTTGACCTAGCCTCTCCAAATGTTATATAGTTTTCTTGTTGCATGATTTCATGCAAATGTTAAACATTTTACATTATTTGGAAGAGGGACGATATTCCTAATTGTTTTGCATTCCTACCAAATTGAGATCTTGCAAACTGTTCTCACAAAAGCGAGATTTCAGGTGTCCTAATTGAAATTTTATCTCTACTTTTTCCTACAGATAATTTCCGGCCCACTTTTTCTCTACACGTTTCCCATTTCTCACCTTATCCTTATTGACTGGCGTACTCATAAAAGTAGCGATAATAATTGCTTCTACCGTTATTAATATTTCTGCCATAATATCAGTGAAAATGATCCGGGAAGCATCGCTTTGTTCGCTTCATTGTTTTCATTCATTTTAGGTGTTTTGTTTTGTCCAGCAAGTTTTAAATATATTTAATGGCGAAAAATTGTTAAGTGTGTTCAAAACTACGTTTTTCATTGTTGGACTCATATTAGAGATTTTCCGTATTTTAGGTTTAATAACAGGTGTAATAAAATTGCACACGCACTTGAAGTCTAAAACTCTTACGCCTTTGGCAGCTCAATAAATGTGGCCCAGTGGCAGCGGTGGCGGTGTACGAAACTCGAACTCTTCTTCCGCAATGTCTAGTTCCGCATCCAGTGGCGCCAATGTTAATTCAGCAACTGGTTCCGGCAGTGGTGCTGCGACGGGATCTCAGCCATCATTCAGTGGTTAGTTAAATTTTAGATCGATTCCGTTATCTGTGCAGCCGTCATGGTTTATGGAAGAATATTATGCTGAATTGTACATCAGAATTACATAACTCTTATTTATTAAAGTAACATGATTATCATCACTACGTCAAATGTGTGGCTTTGTAATTGGAAATGTGATTTATTAGAATTTCTAGGTTTATTTAATCATTTTAATTGATGAGCAAATTGTCGACGGTATGCTTACTGCAAGTCTAATAAGCCAAATACACTTAAAATGTTTTTGTTAGCATTGTGCAAGAAATGTTTCATGTGCCACTATGAATTATATGGACTATGCGAACACCTTTTAGGGGTACGGGTAAATTATCAGCGTGGAGGCACAGGGAATCAGCAGCGATGGCTCGATCATCATCAAGGGCAGCAGTGGAGTGCACAAAGTGCGCAGTGGGGACCACATGTCGCAGGTGGTCCAAACTCAGCCCACCCATGGCCACTTGCAGCTGCTACACAACAGGTAAACTTCATTCAAGCTCATCGAATTATAAAAGCAAATTCGATCACTGTTATCTAAATTTCATGCAGTGCTAGGTCATTTTTAAGATTTAACTGGCATTTGTTGATTCTATTAAATTATCGTTCTCACTACGAGTGTCGAGCCTACTTTAAATCGTATTTTTCCATGTTGTTAACACTTTATATTTATCTCAAACGTTACATGAATGTTCACTACAGTGGGCAAATACACCATCGCCGAATACGGGGACAGGTGCTTCTACATATGCCGAACACGCCAAGAAAAATATGGTAGGACGTGGTAGTCAAAGTCAGGTGCAGGGACGATACGAACAACAACAGCAACAACAGCAGCAGCAGCAGCAACAATGGAATCAAGTAAAAGTAGATCAGGTGATTAGGAATTATATTTGTCCGGTTTTTTTTTCATTTTGGAAAGTCACTTTGTCGTCGTCAGAAATACCTGCATTATTTCAGAACTGATGTCTAGTAGAAATTCAGAAATTTTTATTTTGAAATGAAAATCAAATTTAGATACATTCATTAGTTATTATTTGGCGTTTATTACAGCAGACTCCCTGGGATACGAGTAGTTTGACAGGCTTTAGTAGTATACATGCTACCAGTGATGGGAAATTATCAACAGCCGAATGGGGATCAACCGGAGCACCGAATACACGTTGGGCTCCACGTAAGTGTTTGACTTGTCGTTTTGAAGTTCCATTATACTTTTTTGTTCCCAATTCATTTTGTCATCTATGTAATCTCATTTAGTATGTTCCCAATTCATTTCGTCATCTTAATAATCTCATTTGATAAGATTATAATTTCATTTGTTAGATAAAACCGAACATTCAATGAAAGATCGGCACGTAGTGGGAATGTCAGAAAAAATTTAGCAGCCTAGACAATACTAGAGACGATACGATTAAGGGCAATGTGATGTGTTTTAAAACTTTTTCTTGCAGTCACTACTCAGTGGCCTGTACATGCTGCAGCTACATCAACTGCTGCAGGCTCCGACTGGGCTACGGCTGCAGCAGTTGTGGCTGCTGCAGCTGCGGCACATCATCGTCACGATGCTACAGCAGCACCATGTACCGGCACTACGATAGCAACTCATCCAGCGACTACAGCACTGCCACCGCAAGTTGGGGCAGCTTGGGGCCAAAACCCGACAATCGGGCAGCAGCCATCAGCCTCTGCATTACCAAATCTCAATGAACAGGTTCATTTTAAGCATTTTCATGACAAGATATGTTTTCACATTCCGTTTTTTGTTTAAAAATTGGATTCTGCTTTGGAGCTGTGATTTTCAAAGTTCATACTATTTCCTCAGATTGCTTCCTCTTCCTATTCTCTGTTTCGTTACATTCAACTCAAACACTTTCCTTTTATTAAAAAAATACTCTAAAAGATCACAGTAATAATCTTGTGTTATTTTCATACGTTAAGCGTCGTTTCTGACTTACCTCAAAATTCTTTTTGCAGTACGACCCAAATCCTCAAACGCCTGGTCCATGGGTTGCCCCGCAACCGCAAGAAATGAATAACGATATGATGTGGCATGATCCAAATCCGAAGCAAAAGAAGGTGCAACGTGATACTGGCACTGCGATTTGGGGTGACCCAAGTCAACAACCTGTAGTAAGTTTGCAAATTCTGGAATTTACGATTTACGATTTCAAAATTGAAATTAATTTCCTCATCCATTTTGTTGACATACATAATTGCGCGTACGTTAATTAAATGGGGTTTTCTAGGAGAATTTTCTGCAGGAAATTAAGCGTTGGAAAGATGCCGAAGTTGATGATTATTCTCACATACAAAGCGCAATGCCGAGCGGTGGTGATTGGAACGTCATTGCGATATCATCGAATGGTAGCGCCGTTTGTACAAGCGTCAACGGCGCTATTAGTGGTCCTGGTACAGGACATGCAACGAGTTCGTGCTGTTCAGCAACTGGAACAAACGTTTCAACTCCAACGACAACTGGTAATGGGCCATGGCCAGAAGGTAGAAGTGTGCTACAAAGTTTTTTATTTGTACATTTTTTAATATTTTGAGAAGGACTGGCATCTATGTTTTTTTTCCAATTTGCTGAATAATTTCCTCCTTTTCGACTTGTTTACCGTTTTCGTTAATGTGATGTGTTTTCTTAGGCTCCCATCCAGAACCTGTATCATCATCGGGACACCAAGAACGATGGCAGCAACATCCCAGTGCATGGGGTGATAAGGTAATATTTATTTGTTTAGTAATTTTCTCGTAAGCTTCATTTGCTGTTATTAGCTCTTCAATTTCAACTGTTGAGAATTTTGTGATTTTTCAGCTCGATAATGTTGGTGATAACCATCATCCACCAGATCTGGTTAGTGCTTTATGATATAAATTATTCATTATTACTATGTCTTTTATTATAAAAAGTCGAAGCGTCTCACGGTCTCAAGTTTTAACCTAGGTTGTCTTTGTTTTCTGTCTCGATATTCTCGAAGTCTGATGGATGAAAATGTTAGTTTTGATTTAATAGATAAATTCCAACATTTCTTTTTCAGGTATCTAGACCTCCTTCTGTGGGTGGCATTGGGATGCATGGTTTACTAGATAATGCAGTGATTAGGCCTGATATTGGAGTCGGCGGTATTACAGGCACAACACCGTATATCTCACTTACACAGCAGATTGCTGATCGGGTATGATTTAATACACATATTTCGCAGTGTGTTGTAGTAAATCACGAGATAATCAAATAGATCACAAGATGAAGGCATAATTAAAAAAATTCATAAAATGAAAATGAATCAAATTGTGAAGGCATAATTTAACCTATTTTCATTTGGATCAGTTTTTTATGGTTACTGTTATATCTGGAAATGTTTTGAACTGTAAAGATGTTATCGCTTTTTTAGAATTTCTCATTATGAGCTATTCTTTTTATATTGTTTGTAGATCCGAATTGCGGTTAGTAAAGGTCTAATCGATGTTTCGATGCTTAATCGTCCTTTGCCGCAGCACGCTTTGGTTATCTTAAATGCTCTTCTTCAAAAATTTCCTAAACTTGAACAAGCTCAGCAGGAATACCAGCAAGTGATGCGTGCAATGAGTAGCCCAGCGCAGAAGGTAGGAGTGTATTTATATAGGACAAGTAATTCATTTGTTTTCGTTTCTTAGATACCTTCGTTCTACGTATCATGTAATTATTCATCTAATAAAAGATTAACATTCAACAAATTCTGCAGTTGCAATTTCTGTACAAAAAGTACTCAAATTTTAGGTTGAATCAGAGCGCCTAGCAGTAGAAATAAATGGCTTACAACGTGAAATTGTACAGCTACGGAATGCACTGAATGAGCACTTGAAAGGTTGAAAGCTTATTTATGACTCCTTTTTTTTGTTTTCCTACTATCATTTATTGGCTTGATGATAGGTTGGAATGATACGTAACCAAATTTCTCCTTGCCATATATGCATATAAATTAACTGGTAATCATTTGAAGTTCAATTTCACATGAATATTATTTTACCAATAAGGAATTAACGATGAAAAAGTTGACCGCTTTCTTATCAATAATTCCTTGGTTTAATCATAGAAGAAAACAATCTCTTCTGTTTTAGGTCGTTCAAATACGCTAATTAATGGTACTTTAGCACCTTCACAGCAACAAGATGGGCAAAGCCGTCTACAGCAATGGAAACAGGCGAATACAACAAATATGCAAGATTGCATCAGTGATAAGGTCAGTAAATTCTCTTAAGATCATCAAGGGGAAGATCACGGTAAACTCAAGATATGCTGCCACTACAGTCATATTAATTGTTGTGGTTCAGGTACCGTTTCCAACACTTTCTTATTTGGATGGAGTTTCATTACAACGAAAAATTGGTGTAGCGATTTTTTTATTCCAAAGAGCAGTATAGTTTGATGCCAATAGTAATTTTTAGATGTGTGCACCTTCATCAGATACGAATGTTTCGGGTCTCATTGCCGGCACACAGTTATTGACAATAGAAGGAAAAATTGATTGGAAAGTTGGTAATTTAGACTGGTCGCCACCACCATCCGGAACTGGAGACAAAGGCGAGAAATGAATCGTATTTTTTGAACTCGTTTTATTCTAGCTTTATTCTGCTGCGATAAAGTACGGTTAGTTTTAGCTGGAGTCAATGCTGCATATTCACCAGTGAACACTGATATTTATCATTAAACACTGATAGTTACAATTGGCTCTAGTGTTTTCTCGACTTGTCTACCGAGATAATTGATATACATGTTTGAAAGTATATCTTATACTTGTGTTCCATTTTCAAACACATTAATTTAGTAATGACAGTCTTGATTATTAAAATTCATTTTCAGCTGCCGATATTACCGACAAAGATGATCCAAGTAGCAATTCCGGTGAGAAGCAACACCAAGGAACCTCGTCATCAACTAATCAGTCTTGTAATGGTACTCCAACACCACAGCAATCTCAGACACAAGCGCAAGCAGCTCCAGTCGACGATGGGCCACAGGAATTTGTTCCGGGGAAGAAATGGGAATGGAGGGATCCAAATAAGGTAGATTTTTATGTTTGCTTCAAATAATTTAATAGATTGAAATCGAAAAACTTCAGTGCTGATCGATTTCCCTTGTTATACATTTGGGAGGAGCATTATTATCTCGATGGCATCTTTGATTTAGTGATTTCATTGATACCATGCATCATTTTCATTTTTTTCAGGTAGCGGAGGACCCAAATGCAACTCCAGGCACATGTAAACCAAATCCATTGCTGACAACTGGTTCCACTGCTCAACCTTTCTATTTATACAATAGTAATACGAATAACAGCTCACCACAAGGTAGTACTGCCACCAATGCGTCAAATGCTATAACAACAACGGCTAATTACTTAAATGATCTACAGACTATTAATAGGGTTAATTATTTTTGTGCTTTCATTTTTTATTGTTTACTATTTATGTTAATTCAAATATATGTTTCCATAGAATTGGATAGTGTTATTATTCGCATAGTAATAGAGTTAGAGAACTCTCAAATGAATAATCAATAATAACACATCACATAATATAGAATAACTGCGGTTTATACTCAGTTAAGATCGAGTGTGAGATTTCAAAATATGCAGTAATATTCGTCTTAATAATTTGAAATTACTCAGGCATTATGGGTCATTTGTGCTGTATTTATTTCATGGGGCATCTTTTCCAACTGTCTATTGTAGAATCCAGCTTTCCAGGTATATTTTATAGCAATTATCTTTTTTGTAGAGTCCAAGTGCTGGTTATCTAGGATGGAACAGTGGTACTGCTAACCCAGCTGCTTTTGCTACCGGCGATATATGGCCCACAGTGACATCAGGAAACGCTGTTGTGCGACAGTCTCGAGTTACATCTGGGCCAACGGGAGTTGGACCATTTGGACATGCAGCAGTACGAGGTGGGCCTGTAGGTACTACTGGACTCACTGTGGTGCCTTATCAGCGCTCCAGTTTAAGCCTATTTGGTCTCCAGCAGCCGCAGCAACATCAGTGGCTTTTCATACAGTTACATGGAGTGGTAAGTTAATTGTTTGTTGTAGTTATGTGACGTTTTCCTTCATAGCTTTTATGTTATCTCTTTCGGGGAAACGTCACTATTCATAATCATTATCCATACTTCGAATTCCGTACTGGATTCATCAACCTTCAATTTCAGAACGAAAAACAAGTGCAGATGTTATGTCAGAAAGTAGGCCAAGTAGTACATGCATTTTGTCCGCATGGCGCTCCATTTCTGTATGTTAAATTCATAGAACCTGCTGAAGAAATTATCCGGCGACTAAAGGCTGAAGCTCCATTTTGTAAGTAGCTTTTCATTATCTTTATTGAGATAATTCAATTTCAAGTTCAATAATTGATTACTTCAGAAGTTTTATGATTAACAGATTTAAGAAGGAAAAATTGTTTGATCAAGGGTAGTAATTCTGTTTTAGCTGAGTTGCTAAATTGGTCTGGAAGGTGGTAATATGTAAACTAAATCGTTTTTGCTGAATTTTATTGCGAACTATTTTTATTTTCTAACTAGTTCATCACGCTAAATGCGATACATTCCTTAATGTTTAATTTGGGCTATCCAATGAGGTCAAGTTTATCAACTTTAAAACTCAACTTTACTCAAAATTTTTTACAGTGCAAGTGAAAACTGTACCAGAATCAGAAATGGACCGCTTACTAAAACCACGCGCCACATTATCGTATAGTGGTCCTTTGGGACCGCCTGGAACAACAGCGGAACAGTGGATGCTTGGTACCGGTACAGTTACAGCTTTGCTACCTAACTATTCCAATAATACTGATGTACTACCACAACAATCCAATTTCCATGCATCTGATACAGCTAGCGATCTTACACGACCCTTTTGATGCGATGGAAAATGATATCTTTGGTCGATAAGACATACAACGGTAAGCAGTTTTGTAAAATAACGCACTTTAGTTACAATTACAATATTAGTTCCTGTCAGTTCTTGTGTTTTTTGTATTCCTTGGGATTTATTCATTGATGCATTATTTATCGCTGTGTGTTGCTTGTATGGAGTTCTGCAGTGTAGGATTCTAGCGTCTGTATTACTTCACTGATACGTTAATCACGTTCTCTATGTTAAGTTGGTACGATAACTGCGTTCTTTGGGAAGCTTGCACGAAGCGGATGTCAAAAATACATATGTAGTCTGTTACATTTTTCTGTCGTGTCTTCGCGTCTCATCCATTTCTAATCACTTTATAATTTTGGCTGCATTACACTAACCAATCTCATTTTTTAAAACCGTTTTTAAGGCATTGGTCATTGACTTGTTAGCGAAGTAATACACTCAATCATTCTTCTGTTGTCAGTATATGGATTAATGGTTTCCTATTCAATAAATCATGATGAGTGTGAAATATATGCGAATTAATGAGTTAATGGATTTGGTGCAAGAATATCGTTATGGGCTATTATATATTTTCGTACTTACAATATTCTTATAATTTTTATTCTGCTCGTCTATTCAGCTTTCTTTGAACAAAGGTCATTGTATTCAGGAATATTTCCATGCTCTCGATTTCTTGGAATATGTACAGATATGTATTATTGTTATGATTCGTATGCTTGCCTATTCTTTTCTTCCTAATCTTTAACAATTCCGTTGATTTTTGTATTCTTTAGGTCTCTATACTACCTACTGCTTATTTTTTATTGTAAATTTTAAATTCAGTTTACATGATGGAGTAATGATATAAATTATGCCAGTGACATTGTGGTAGATTGAAATATGAGTATAAATGGGAGGGAGGGAAGGATAGAAATAAATTGAGGGGAGAAAAAGGAGTATAAATCGAAGCATCTAAGATGAGATAAAATAATGAGGGATAGGAAAATCTAAGATATAGAATAATAGGATGAGATAAAATAAGGCAGATATGGAATGGAGATAATGAAGCATGATTGAAATTAGAATAGAATTTTGGGAGTGCGACGAAGCGGTAGCAAGAAATTGAACCGAAATGGTTTTGTTTGTATGAATTTTTTTATTCATTTTGTTTTTTTGTCTGCTTAGATCCTTTTATCTGCTCTGTGTAAGATACTCTAGTTATCTGGGCTGAAGTTCCATACTGTAAGCAGAAGGAGAACCTCTTTTTCCCTAGGAAAGCTGCGAATTCAGCCATTGTCTTCATGGCATAATATGAATTTGCTACCCTTGTTTGATCATTTTTTTTTTAATATCGCATTTTTATTCTATGTTGTGTAATTTATATTGATTTTTCAATATTTAAGAGTTATTTGCTTCAAAGATTATTCCATATCTGTACACATTGTGAAGTTTATCTTCCAATGTAGTGACATGTATGTGTTAATGTCGTTATCCTCCAGTATCTGTGATTTAGTTGCATAACGGTATTTTATAGTTGTTCTTAACTATCTTGAATTTGGGGTAATTTCCAAAGAAAAAACTGGAATCTTGGTCAATAAAAATTTAATTCCTGTTGATGTAGAGGATTCTTTGCTACTTCGCGATATTGAGATTTAATTTCTGTACCATGCAATGTATGGTGTGATTCAGAAAATGAGCTTTCTGATTAGGTTTTATTGTTGCAAAAGATCAAGTTTTCTCATCAAAGATGGATTTACTATTTCCAAATACCAAATATACATCAAACAATAACTTTGTTGGACGCTTTGTAGTCATAGCATGTATTTTTTTATACGGTGCTTTGGTTGGTTGCTTATCATCTGTTTTATTAATCTCGCAGTGATATTCATTGAGGTAAAATTCAGAAATGTTCCTAAAATGGGTCAGACTTCCGTTTCATGTACTGCGTCGAATGTTTTCCATATTTTTTTTTATTAATCTGCAATGGTGCATGTATGCAATGATGCAAACGACATGACTCAGCCATAGTCATGTCTGTCAATACATGAATTCAATTTGTGCAAACTTTGTCAGGGAAGTTGTCTTCAGTTTGCACTTTCAGTCAAAAAAAATTGGACGACTTTTGAAATTTTTACGTAATTCGTCATCAAAATTAATTGGCCTTGTGTTCGGCATTTTCTGAAAGGAGGGAGTTATACCTGAAAAATTTCTGCGCTGAAAAGGAAGAGAAGTTGGCTTAACTTTCCTGTGATCGAGCCATAAACGTTGGTTGTGTTGTTAACATGAATCGTTTTGGTACTGTCACAATACCGTGTTGTTGTGATGTTCTTGCTATCAAAATCAATTCCTGTTTAATAGTCTGGATCCGAAAATTGCGGTATTGCTTCCGCTTTACATTCTCAAGAGGAATTTTTTTCGTGTTGGGTTTTTTTCTATGTCTTGTTCAAGTTCTTTTTGAGAATTCCTTATCAGGTGTATTTGTTCATTCTAACCTATTACAGTATAGTCTTTTGCTTTTTCATATTGAACTTTGTTCATTTTCAATCTTTTGTGTTGTTAAAGTTCTTTGATAATTTCTAACCAGGTGTACTCATTTTTCTTTTTTATTGTGGTACAGATTTTTTTATCATGTTATACTACTGCTGTCATTGCGTATAGGCAATATTTAATCATTCTCTCTTCTCCCATCTTTTTTTTCATCTTATAATCAATCTATCTCAATCATCACATGTATGAATATCAGTGATGAAATTATCATTATTCTTTTACATTTCTTATTAAAACTGGAAAATTTTCATCAGAATCTTTTTATTTGTTGCAAAATCTATTTATTGATTATATTATATATCTTTCCATAACTATTTGTTTTTGTTAGTTTTTCTTACATTTTATTATCAGGTAGTCTGTGTTATATTATACATTTAAAACTGTCCAATCGTTATCCCAATTTCATCGATTTCCATTATCTTCCTGATTTCTACTATTTCGTCTGTACATAACATGCAATAATTAATTGGATGTCGCATTTTCTGTTCTGTACTTATTCCATATCAGAATTGAGAATGGACCGAATGAATCAAATATTTAATGCCACATAATGCATCTTGAATCAAATTCCGTTAATTCTATCTTTGTTTTTTCTTTGTTGTGTTCCATTATTCTTTTCATTGCGCGAGGTCTTCATATATATTTCGTATTTCCTTTTGATTTGTTAGAGCCCATTATGCTCAAATAAAAAAGAAGAGTTTGACTAGAGCTTCTTGAGTATGATTAGCAGTAATTATCACAGTGATGAAAGTAACAATCAAACGAAACCTATTTTAACTTTATTCATAAACATTTGAGTTATTTCGATGCAGAAATTGCTTGCCAAGTCTGGTATTAGAAAAATTTTCATATCAAAATTTGCTTTGTCATAATTATCTTATGTTTGAATTGTTATGACCGAAGCGCAATTTCTCATGGTGCAGTCATTATTTTGCACTTGATAACCTGATCTTCCTGGAAGTTAGTGCTGCAATTATTTCTTTCCCAACTGTTAAGCATCACGTTTTTATATGCTCGTTGCCACAATTACTAAAGCTATATAATAGATATTTTCAGCAGTCGCATTTGACTGGCATTGCGATATCTATATGCGCCTAAATTTGTATGCTTCTGATTCTTAATGCAGGTTAAATGCTTGTATAGTGGTTTTACAGCTATTTTGTTTACATTTTATTTATATATTCAAGTTTCACGTTTTCGTTTTCTAAAGTAATTGCTTCATTATAATATTCTTGTTCATAAATAATGGTCTTATTCGATTTTTGTTGCAATTTCCTAGATAAATATGACTAATTATGTAGTACAACTAATACACGACTAAATTTATACTTTCCATCCTTAAATTTTTCTTTCCGAGCTTTTAATAATCATTGCTGTGTGGAAATCTTGATATTTCCGTGTTTATATGCCACCAATCTATACAAGATCTTTGTCTGATATTTGTGTTTTTTCGAGGAGAAATTTGAACAGAATCTGTATTTTTGCTAACATTATCGTCGTTGTTGTTATATGGTTTACACGGTCACGAGTATTATTGTTTCTTATGAATATGGTTATTAACTTATAGAATTGTACTGATTAAATACAGCGTTGCTTGATTCATCTCTGAGAACCATGCGTCACTGTTGTTTCTATTTATCACACACTTAATAATTAGTGATTGGTTTTCAGTAATTTGTATTCACTATCATTTTTTGTACTTTTTCTCTTACTAAAGTGGCGTTTTGTTTCCTTGTTTCCTCGTCATTATTGTACTCTTATCATTTATCATTATTAAATTAACAACTTCCGTTGGGATAAGGTTATCAGCAATTTTGTTTGTTATCTTTTGTCTCTCCACATTGTTTTGACTTATTTTTATCGTGCATTCTTGCATAACTATCATTTCCGGTAACCTTGTTTCATTTTCATGATTATTGCCATTATAGCGATCATGTGATCGAAACCTTCAACTTTAGATTTTCGCCTTTATGTAATCTATATCTATTTATATATATATATGTATGTACATATATATACGTATATGAAATATATTCTGCATAAATATTTTGGTTTATTAATTGCAAAATATAAAGTGGGCTATAAGCAGTTGGTTATATAAATTAATCGAGGTTCGAAATGGATTAAGGTGATATTTCGGAATGGTATACTACACCGAAGATGGAAATGAGAGAAGGCAAAAGAAATAGTATTGTGGGAAATTATTTCAAAGAGCATGAGGACAGCCGAATTGTGAAGTGGCTCTGGGTTTGTAGGTGTGGTTCTGCGTGGAGAATAGGGGTAGGGACGTGATATTGCATATCGACCATAACCTGGTGATTTAATCGGAAATTAGAAGTTGTACTTGAAAGTTCGAAAGAGGTGGATGGGTCAGGTGGGAGTGATGGGGTATTGGGATCATGGAGGATGGAGATCGAAGAGTTTAGGGCGAACGATGAGGGTCATGAAGATGGGACAATAAGG